GACCCTGCATTATTCATGAAAAGACACAATACTACACCATCCATTAATACATTAAATATACCATAAACACGACCAACTCGTCTCTCTTCCCCTAAACGAATAAAATTCTATTAAACGACACGAAATTCATTTTCCCATACATAATACGATCTTAAAGAGGCTTTTAAAGACTCTTCGACCAAACTAGGATTGACATTTCGCGAATCTTCTCGAAACTTTTCCGCCTCTTCCGAGAAAAGCAGCAAACTCGACCCAAGATCAGGAATCGCTCAACGTTCCAGAAGAACACTCCCGATGGAGTAGTTACCGGTCCTGGATCATTCATGATTCACACACGTCCGGAAGAATGAAAATAGGCCGACAGGGCAATTTTCTACTTAACTCGATTCAGGAATTGACAAACACTCCCGCAGTGTGTAACGCCGCGGTTACTAACCCTCGGATTTCCCAGACGGCCCGAAACAACCTGTGCCAAATACAGTTTAACACCGCTTGCATTTCAATGGGCAACAGCCTCTTGAAATATTCCACGTTTCCGTTTCGCAGCGGAGATCGTATTTCCACGGACCGACCCCGTCGAAATTTTCCGTCCAGTGTCGATACAAGGCAAATATTTTCGCGTCCAGGACCGAGCGAATATTTTTCTCCCTTCCCTGCTGCCAAGGGTAGCCTGATTTCGTCGGAACAATCGGACGGGATAATTTAATCTCCTTCGTCCGATATAAACCGAACGGAATTCCTTCGCACTACACGTGGCAACGGAGGCACGTTCTATTTGTTTGTACAGTTAATAACATGCCACGGTTCGCTAGTTCTATGCCGGGTATCTTCTCTTTCCTGCCACTCGCAGCATTCCGATTTTATTTCGAAGAAGAATCGCTCTCTTGAAAAATCTTTTCCACTATCGGAAATTTTTATCGCCCTGCGACCTTGCGAAATCTTGGTATCGAGCAGGATGCAAATTTTTCCGTATCTCTTAAGTCCTCGGGTAGAGATTTTATTCTATTCCAGGGAAAAATTCTTTTGATTTGGAAAAATTTATCGCGGTAACAATGGAAATGTGAGGAAGATAATTTTGTACGAAATCGGTAGTATCCAATGAATTTGTTGCATCTCATAATCGATAGTTTAATATTCGAGAGGGTGGCAAAAGTGAGTAGGTTTAATTCCAAAATCGAATAAAAATGGAATTTTAATAGTACGAAACTGGCTAATGGTACATTGAACTTTTTAATTCTCCCATTACTGTTTTTAAATTATTTCGTATCCCCTTTTTGAACTACCTTGCGCAGAATAGAAATTTAATAAATTCTTTATGGAAGCGTCCTTCGTTTATAAAAATTTTCGAAATAGTTGTAACGTTAATTACAAGGTTGTAAATAACGCTGTAATTAGCAGTGAAATGCTGCTCGATGAAATCAGAGAACAATAGATAGAAGGTGAAAGAGGGAGGAAAAGCGTGTAAGGGGAATCGGACAATTTATGGTCAGACAAATATTAGCTCGTCTTATATGGTAGTCTGTGATTGCATCGTTCCCACAGCTCTTATCTAAGACATTACGAATCCCGAAATAATATTTAAAGTCGACGACAATTACGTTCATTTACTGACTTAAAAATTATTTATCAATTTTTAACACAAAGCTAATAAAATATATCCCACGTATCAAGATGAAACAAAAAATTTTGTTTGAATAAAAGATTCGATTAGCCAAGTAATATCTGTCACCTAACGGATAACCAATATTCCAATATTTAAAAAATTCCAACTACTTGAACCAAAGTGAAGTTATATGGAACACTAGATATTCCTGTTATTTCGAAAATGTTGTTCACTCTTCCAAGGTACTTTGTACATGCTTCGATAATTACCTGTACTAAGACCGACACAGAAATCTCATACAGAAAATTAATATACACTGTTCGATTACACAGAAATCTTACAGGAATAGTATTTCCGTGAATACTATTAATAATCTATTATTAGAAATAATCAACGTGTCAATTTGCAATAACTCTCTGTTAGAAATAAATCGACTTAGAGTACAGGACCAATGAAAGTAACTTCGATACATCTTCTTCGATCGATTCATCGACAATTTAAGTTTCTGCACGCAGTTTTCTAATAGCGTTTAAAAATCCAACATTCGTGCATCCTTCGCTCGCTCTAAACACAATTCCCTAGAAGTTACTATATCGAAACTTCACGCGTCCAATGTGTTCTAAAGCTCTGTCATTCGCTATGTCACGAACGACTTTCTTACGCCATAGGCTACAACATTCGACGAATTAAATAAAATTCGAGAAATTGAATTAAATGGAGAAAATTAAATCAAATCGTCGAAATTGAATTGACAACGTGGAAATGCCGAAAAATGCGAGTAGATCTGACCCAATTGGAACGATCCGGCGAGGGGAGGGATCGTTAATAAAACGGTTAGGTGACATGCCTGACGGTCCACGTCGGGCAAGGTTAAGTGGCGACCCTCGAACTTATAAATAACCGCGAAACATTCCCTCACGGAGCATCGCGCCGACTTCGAGCGCGTGGATCGACGCCGTGCGTGCAGACGCCGCCACGATCTAATTGGAAGGCGTTAATTGGGTCGACTAGGCCGTTTCCACTCCATCTGCCAGCTGTTCTTCAACTTTTCGCATGCTTGCTTGAGAGAAATACCAGTCGACAAGCTTAGATCAAGTACCAATACAATTTTTCGTGTACTCGGAATGGAGAAGCTAAAACTTTGCGCACATTCGTCATATAATGTTATGAGAGTATCAAACTGATAATAATACGACGGCTACAACAAAGAAAATATGCAGTGTTTTTGATAAACGTGTGGTTGCAGAACGTACTGTGCGGAATTGGTTTGCCAAGTTTCGTTCCCGAGATTTCAGTCTTCGAGATGGACCTAAACCAGGACGGTCAAGAGATATCGATGACAGCGATTTGAAAGCCTCAGTGGAAGAAAACCCGCGTCGAACAACCAGAGAATTAGCAGATAAGTTGAAAGTGTCATAGTCTACCGTTTGTCGACACCTGAAAAAGATAGGACAAGTCAGCAAGGCGTTCCGCAGAATTTGTCAGAGAAAAACAAAGCAAATAGGATGGCGGTCGCCATTTCGCTCTCATCTCTGAACAGAAGTGATCCATTTTTGAACAAGCTGATTACAGAAAATAAAAAATAGGTCACGTACGAAAATGTTACCCGGAAAACGTAGATAAGGGTCAGCAACCTCTGCCAGAACCCGAAGCCACTCTTTATGGAAAGAAGATTCTTCTTTGAGTATGGTGGGATCGTAGAGGAATAATCCGTTATGAGCTGTTGAAGTGTCATGAAACAGATACAGCAGACAATTGACCACGTTTACATTAAATAATTGATCACGGTTCAAGAAAAGTTACAACACAAACGACCAGCCCTTATCAATCACGATTTACGATCTAGACCAGGTATGTAGGAAAAAATTTTTGAATTAGGATGAGGACTCACTGGGCCTAGCCCTCACAGATTACCATCTGCTTCGATCATTACAAAATTGTTTAAATGGAAAAAAAATTCAATAGCGATAACTATATAGAAGAATTCATTGAAACGTTTTTCTCATAATCTGGAAATCTCTTCATTTATGTCTTTAAGTGCAAAGAAATAAGTGGAATGATTAGAAAAATGCAAGAAATAATTCTTGGGTTGAAACGTGATCGATTATTAGTATATTCGGTGTTAATGCGCTAGAGAGTACAGTTCAAAATTGGAGATGAGGATTTTTAGAGACGTGCGGCATTGTCAGAAATAAACTGTAAGAGGCAATGTGCAACTTCCTGTTTTGGTTACGTAAGTGACACGCTTGTCTTCATTCATTAGCTATTGCGCTAACAATAAGTGGAAGTGTTCAAAGTCTGAGTATTTTTAATCTCATTGTATGCGTGCAAATCGGTGGAGATCTTCCTTGTATTAGAGAAATACTTCGACTAATTATCTTCTTATCTATTTCCGTTTCTCAGTGCTCCGTATCCTTGAGAAATTTGGAGCTGTGAAAATTACATTTTTTGATTTAATTATCTTCATATCGTAGATAGAAAAATTTTGAAAAATTTTAGAAATTAAACCCTTTGAAATTATTATTTTTAAGTTTTAGTTCATTGATTAATAAAAAAACGGAATATTATTATTTATGTGAAATGAATTCATCTAGTAATGTAAGCGATATAAAAATAAATTTAAAAAAACGAAATGATCTTAACTCACATTTGGCTGTTACGCGTATTACGCAAAGAAAAATAATTTCTCATCCTGTCATTCTTCGCTAGAAATCTTCGGATTTGTAATACAACACTGTTTTCTCGATAAACAACATTTCTCTTCACGTGGGCAAGAATATGCTTCGTGGAAAGACAAACGCGAAGAAAAATGATGATCACAGAAATAAGCAGAAAAAGATGGTGAATAATGTCAAACAAATTTTGACTCGGCGATGAAGAATCGAGTGGTAACCTCGTTTCCTGCGAAAGCTTTTAGCGACGGAGAAATTTGTTTGGTGTTAAAAGACACGACTTTTACACGGCAACCAAGTAAAATTCTTTAGACGGTTGGTAATGCAAAAAATCTTTCTGTAATCTGGATTTTCAATTTCCCATTTCTACTTGAATATATCCAAGATATAAAGATAGTGTTTGACTGATACATTTTGGATCGAATTCTTAAAAATACTACAAAATCATCTTTCTTTCAACATTGCGAAAATTAATAGAGAAAACAAAACTTGTGTGAAAAAATTGTTGTAAATCATACAGCAACATGTTAAAAGACACCACAGAAAAGGAAAAAAGGTTGAGAAGAGCTAATTTGAAACGTTAACCAATTTTTCATAAAAATAGAATTAACATCGTTGTAAAAATATAACAAGCTACCAAAAGATATCCTCAAGCACTAAAAAAATTTCTCGAATTAATAAAACAAGTAAGGAAAAGTAATTCAATTCACCAATAAATACTCCAATTGCGTTATATTAATATTAGATCAATACTAAATCCTAAATCATAAAAAGGTATCCATAAACATAAAATTAATATTCGAAAATCCCTAGAGTTCCAAAACTAACGAAACTGCCAAGGAAATTTCTCAATGTTCGATCTGGCAATAAACAACCCTCGAGTATAATCATTAACATCCCAACATCGGTTAAAATATCCCCCTCATTTTCCCAGCCATAGCGCGTGTCTCAAGCACGCGATCCACTTGCAAGACGTCTCGCGCGTCTCCGGAAACTCCCACGGTGCACAAGATCCGGCCTCCACTTCCACTTAACATGCACATCACAATCTAGCCGGAAAACGAACGTGCACGTCAGCTCGTCCTCGAAACTTCCCCAGCGGCGTGTCCAACCTTGGACCAACCACCATAACCTCAAACAATAAAGAAACACACAGAGCAAGCCTCTAATTAACAAGATCAAAGAACGTAGCTGGTACGACTTTAATTAATATACCTGTCTCGACTTTCCTCTTCCTCTGCGATCAACCTTCCATTTCACCACGAATTCCACGACAGCCTGACAAATTCTGACAGACGTCTGTCGAGTCCCGGGTGTCGATATTCCTTCTTCCGAGTTGGTTGGAATCTCTCATGTGATTGGATGAACGGTGAGGCTGGGCGCAAATACGACGAGTTAATGATTCGAAACAGCACGTGAGGCTGTTGGCAAACGACCAAGCGGTAAGAATTCCACGAGGAATCGGTCTGGATCAGAAACGATCGAGGAGAGACACGAAGGTAGCCGAGGAACCGATCACGGCAGCTTGTTGCGCCGCTTTTGTGGCTAAAGGACAACCTTCGACCGGCCAGCAGCCGGCTGTTTATCTCGTTTCGAATACGCGAGCAACCGGACGTCACTCTTGTTGGCAGTGGAAGATCAGGAGTCGGGTGGAAACCGGGTCTGCAAAAATAGGCACGCGAACGTGCCTCGATTTTACGACGCTACTCTTGCTTTTAGGCGCTACGTTACATGGAACGAATTTACTCGCTATTCATTGCGCAAGTATGTCGAGGGTATCTGTATTTGGTCCAGTCTGATCGATAGATGCTGATTGCACGAGGAGGATGTACTTGCTCGTTAGCGCAACTATGTCTTGCGAGTATCGTATTCGGATATTGTTCGATACGTCGTTTAGCAATTGGCCATACACGATGTTCGCACACAACTGCCAATGAGAGAGAGATTAAGTCGTGCTAAAGAGGATCCAGATTAACCGCAGTACTCGTGAAGATCTTAATCTTCTATGTGAGAGCTAACTTACCGACTGAGCATTCTGCGATAAGTTTTCTGCGACGCATGGACTAGCTGACTCATCGTAACCGTAAAAAAAAACGAAGACTTGCAACTTCTTTGCAAGAGAATCCAGATCTATATTCTCCGATGAATGAAAAAAAAAGGTTTTAAGTCAAAATTAATCCTATTCAACTGTATGGTACAGTTTAAATCATGGTCAAAGCATAGTGACGCCTTATGTACGTTGTTTTCCATGTTCCATGACGAGTTAGCTCATCATGTGTGCTAAAGAAGCATTTTCCAATGACGAAATTTTAAAATTCCTTTTAAACCTAGAAAATGTAGAATGGATAATAATAACATTATTAAGATAGGATACGGTAGTCATAAAATTGATGGTTTTCGAAACTGTAGTATCAATTGTCGCTTGTAAAAATTCTATTAAATAAGACACGGGTATAGATAAGTTAGAATTGATACTTTTAATATTATTAACCGTCACTTAAGTGAAAATGTTGGAAAAAGTAAAGGTAATTGAATTTCGATTTCGCGCCGCTCATCTCGATTTGCGGGATCGATTCGATATATCGGAACTCTCCTGAGAACCCATGACTGATTTCGTAACTGAATAATGAAATCCTCCGAGCGGGAACTTTTATCGGCAATTCTATTTGCTCGTCGATAGAGAGAAGTTTTAAGTATCTGACTGTTAAATAGAGATTCAACGGAACCAATTAAATGAAAAATGAAATTGCATTGAAAATTCACAAACCTGCAGATAAAACGGAAAGTTAACCTAAACTTTCGTGATCACGTTGCTCGAACTTTGACGAATTAAAATCTAATCGCAAATCGATTTTGTAACTAATTACAGAAATTAATGAGTGCTTCTGTAATTTCCACTGTAACCTACAATTAGAAATTATTTTTATCGAGTTAATATCTGACACTGTATCTAAAGGTTGCCGATCCCTTACCTTACGATGTAAGTTCCAATGGCGCGTGTCGTAATCAAACAGCGAAATCACACAGTCATACGTCGAATCATATTGTCCGAACGCGGCGAAGAATAACACGTAACTGACAAGTCTCAACTTGTCTCGGCAGATAAACATCGACGAAAATTAATTTCCACGCGTCGAATTTCGTCTGAACGTGGCGAAGAATAACACACAACTGGGACAGGCAAACATCTACGAAAATTAGCCTCGAACCTGACCCGTGTTGTTTACGTTGAGCCCTACTTGCAAACAAAGGCTGTCGCTCGTGACATTCATGTTTGGCTGGATTTCCTTACCATGAGTCTCGCATGATATTGTACGTAATTAAAAATAAAGAAAGAGATAACCTGGATTATTAAAAGTAGCTTTAATATAAAAATATTGTCATAAAAATTTTACCGAATAAATATATTTCCATGATTTAACATTTCTCGATATTTCAATTTAAAAATTAAAAATAGATCACCTTCTGTTTAACAAGAATTCCAATGAAAGGAAAAGATATCAAGGTCCCCCCAGTGCCGACTTATTCTTGAGGGTTTTTAATAACCATCGAATCCTTGGAGCACATCGGTTAACGCAATGCAATGGTTCTAAACCAAGTATAGTGATTCAAATAAAATCGAGTCACGTACTGAGAAAGAATGTAATTAACCTAAAGGAAGAATGAATAATTCGTAGAATTTTGAAATTCTGGAAAAAAAAACGAAGAATATTTGTTAGAAAACGATACTTTTTCAGAATAAAAAAAAAATAAATTGAAACAATTATAATTGGAATTATCAAATTATAAAAGACCGATGATTTTATTTTCTGATTACAATAAAACCTTGATTGGACTATGTTGTATTTGTTGTTGTAATTGTATGGACTAATTTCCTGAAAGAATCTTATAGAAAAAAAAAATTTCGTTTCAATTACGTTATTATGAATTTATGAACGTTCAATGACATTAAATAATTTATTAAATTTGATAAGTCACCTTCCTGTATAAAACATACCTTTCGCTAATATGGTTGTGATATATGTCATTTATTAAATTATTTCAAATTAACAAAACGTATGCAACATTACTTTCAGCATCCAAAACTCTGTTTAATTTAATATACCATCTGCGTAATAATTATGAAAAGTAACTCTTTCTAACAGGAAAATTATGCGCCTATGAAAAAAAATTATATAGTCAATTAAGGTGGTTCACTCTGATCTAAAAAATAGAAACCAATAATTACTACAAATAATGCATATTATTACAATATAGTGATACAATAAAGAACAATAATATGGTAATAAATAAATAAAATAAGGTTTATGAAATATAACCACACATGTATATATATAATTTCCAAGTTACATGAATTTATTATATTTCACTCTTATTTATGATAATTTAATTGCTTAAATCGATCTAAATACATAGTCACGTACATGTTACAATTAATCCTCCTGGATTTCCCTAAACAATTAAAATAATCTGCTTTGAGCTTAATTAACATATCATTAACAGCACTTGGCGAAATAATCCTAGTAACTAATTTCAGACACTGCTAACCGAAAAACAACGTACTAAATTATTTTACGATAGAGCCTAAAATCCTCTGGAAAATCCAACACGATCTCGAAACACAATGTTACAGTCACGTTTTAATGGACATTATTACCATATCGATTGTCCCGCCGAAAATTCTGCCCGGTTAATCGTGCCTTCGTTCCTCATCGACAGTACACACACACACCTCCATACTATCCTCCAGAAGGTAATTAAATGTAACGACGCTTAGTACGTGTAAATTTAATTAGCAGTTGCTGAGCCTTATTAAATGCAATATAGAGCTGAAGTCACAGTCCTGTTTGGCAGAAATCACTGAAACGGAATAATGATCTAAAGTGGCCACTACAGAATACCTGATTCATCGTATATATATATGCTTCCTGCATAATAATTAAGTACATTTCCTCTTCACGTATCTGAGTATAAAATGAAAGAAAGGATTAACGATTTTCGTTTCTGTATGAAGATTTAGTAACAATTAAATTATCATTACAAAAATGTATCGTCGAATTCAATACCTTGATATTGGTTATGACTGCTTTGGTTATGTTGTTAATCTTCACTTCGTTGCAAGTGAGAACTACATAAATAAGACTATACGTCGATAAATACGCTTATTTGAACATTCTAATGCTTTTCTAGAACAATGTATAAATTATTAATATGAAAAACTTTCGTAGGTTATAAAAGGTGCACAAATATTTCGTAAATGTAAACACTACCATATTCGAATCGATCGATCACTGAGGGAATAATCGAAACACAAGTGACAAGGTTCGTGTTACAAATGATTATATTTCACTTTATGTTACAAAAAGAATTTCTAATACGGGTAATGTCCCGATTTTATAGTTTAATAACGTTCAACACCTGTGCCACTAACGTGGCCTGAACATTCTGCGCTGTCATTACACGTTTTCGCTTACTTCTCACCCGGTAAATAAGTATCGTTGAACATCTATTTAATATCTACTATCGATATCGTCTAATTAACACGACTGACGCTTCCGTCTGATTAACTTCGTAGTAAGAATAATAAACATGAAAAGGCGGAGGGGAAGGGGAAAAATCACGAATTCGCTACAAATTTACGGTAGCAATCTTCGATCGATTTCCATTCTACGATTACATAAGGTGTCTTACATTTAAACGTTAGTTACGTACACGTCTACGGAGAAAATATATGAAATTGCTCGGAAATAGAAATCGTCGATAAATTCGTCGGCAGTCCGGTATCTTATCGTACGTTGAAACGTCTTTTGTTTTTTCTCTTTTGTCGTATGATGGCGTTACACACTAATGTGCATTTACATTATTTACAATGACTTTGGATCCATGCACGAGCACTCTGTCGGACTAAAAAATGTGTTCTTTGGTTCTAAAGTAGTCTATCAGTGATGAAGAGAATATACGTAAACTTTTATTTGTTATTATATTAAAACGAAGTTTTACGAGTAAGTTTAATTTTGAATACCTTATAAAACAGAATCTCTACAAAGATAACTTTAAATATAATTATGGCCTTTTCTTTTTAGTTTGATCCAATCATTGCGATGCCATTGGAAGATTTACGAAGAGGTCAATAATTGCAGACCAGATCTTGTAAAGGTATAAACATCGTTCTACGAAGATGTAGTAAAGTTAACAGAACGATCATTTTAACTTCTAACTATGAATCTCAGTTTTAATTTCGCTGGTAGACTAATCCTATAAAAGTAGCTATATATATATATGCTACCATCTACTTTCTAGGGAATATAGTCGTTATAGTTTTATATCTAAGGCTAGCGATTTTACTAAAATCGGATATTAATATCTCTAACATACCATATTCGAACTATCGTTGGCATCGGAATGATCCATGCTGTATTCTATGTTTCAATGTACTAATCGAAATTTTATAAAATCTGTAAAAATTGTTCCAGGGAAAGGGATAAAAAATGTACCAAAGGATAATTTCAACGAAATGATGTTCTTCACCACTAAAAGACACTCTAACGTGATGTGGTGGCAAATGGATGAATAAAAACGAACTAATGAAAAATCGATATCTCCCTGACCTTCTGACTAAATGTGGACCCTGTTAAGGTGCAAGAAACACACGAACGTCCTTGAAGACGTAAAAGCTCGTACCCATTCTTCTAATCCATGTATCTCCGATCGACAATAATTCCAGCGCAAGTTACGCAGTCGGTTAAATCGCTTAGCCTACGCCATTACAGCTATAGTCTTACTCGGCACTCGAGCGTTCCTTTTTACTTCCTAACGTTCATATAATACGATCTAAGCCAAACACGCACACACCACCGCCAGGAAGTCAGCCAGAATTGGGACGCAATCAGAGCTTTTATGGAAGCCTTGAGCAAATCTGTCTGCCAGTTATTCCCGATATCCCATTTCTCTCGTTTGCTCCGCTGGCAGACAGACTCTGATGTTTATTGTTCTTTAATAATCCTCTTATTGAACTTTCGTTCTTCTTTCCTCCTCTCTCTCTCTCTCTCTCTCTCTCTCTCTCTATCTCTATCTCTCCCTCTCTTTCTCTCTTTCTCTTTCTCTCTTTCTCTTTCTCTCTAAATTTATACCGAATCGTTCTCGATCAACTTTCTCGCGAATGTAAAAATATAACGATTTCAACCTTTTTCTTTTATCCCCTTTCTTCTTTTTCTTTCTCTGCATACGACGTAAAACGACATCAATGATATAGATCATTTGTTTTTCTCTTCCTCTTAACCGTATAAGCTCGATGAAGGACAGACAGAAGAAAATGTACTTGTTTTATCCGAGTTTCTTCGGTGAGACGTTCAAAACGATTATCTTAAGAAATCATCAGGATAACACGATGCTCCTAGATCGATCCTAATTATTTAATACCGTTATTGTCGAATGTAAAATAATCTCTTAAGAACGGCATTAATTTTAAGTAATAAATATTTCGTATATTATGAAAAGTAGAGAAGAGACGTTTTTCCTCCGTTTTCCTTTTTTTATTTTTTCATGGACGAAAGTAGATTCGAAATCTTTGATAAACTTCTTCTTTGAAGCAACAGTATGGTCAATCGTGCTTTTCGATTTACCATATCTGTGAAGAAAAAGAACAAGTTCTAAAGACTTTTTCTTCAGAGATTCCAACGGGATAACGTCTACAAAGGGCTTTGCCGATACGTATAATATAACACGAAGGAACTTTGTGAAGGACGTCAAGTGTATGAAGGATAAGATCCCTCGAGAGGACAGAATGTCTTTGGCGAAAGTCACTTACAGCTTTGCGCTCTGGCGACCGAATTTCGTTCATTCTATCTCGAGAACTTTCGCCCTTGTTTAAAAGTAATATACATACATAATCATCCAAGTAATTATGTTTCGAATTATATTACAGAATTTTTAATTTAACCCTTTGAGGCATGTTTTGAAATATAAATAATTTCGAACCTATACTGCGTTGAAGACACGTAGTATTTCTCAATTAAAATCGTCAGAATTGATGTTTGAGCTACATATGTTTGCAAAGTAATTCCAAGATTTTATCAATGTTATAATCGAATTTATCAATAATAATAATACTTGAGACTTGATCAGTAGGATATTTGGATGCCGATGCATGGATACTTGAGTACTCAAATTGATGAGTACTTGAGTATTCAAATTAATAGATACTTGAGTACTCGAGTTAATGGATACTTGGGTACTCAAATTAATAAATACTTGATCACTCGAGTTCATGAGTACTTGAGAACTTGAATATTTGGAAGCTTATCTACTTGGATATTTAAATACTCGAATACTCAAACATCTTCAGTATTTGAGAATTGGAATGTCCAAATACTTGTGCATTTTTGTTACGTCCCATATAAATTAAAAGTTTCACGATAAAAGAACAATATCGAACACGCAATTTGTTCCGCAAAGGGTTAATATAATATAGCGTCTAATATAAGCTATTAATGGTTAATATCATTTTTCTCCATTACAAACGATTTCGGATCGCCTTCGGACAACGCGGACGGCAAGGCGAAAAGTCGAGGACGAATTTCTTTACGTTTAAGGACGAAGTCAGAAAGGGAATATAATAATTAATAACAGTAAGAGTAATCGAAAAACAAAAGAACATTTCCTCTGGTTCATTCCTGGCAGTGGCGTGAAGGGGAGGAAAGGGACGGTGGCTTGAGGCTGGCTCGGTTTATGGACAGAAATTAGAACTACCTGTGTCTATCGCACAAAGTTCAATTTAAGAATAGTTTCAAATGAAGTGAAAAATAAATTTGTAATAAATAACTTTCAATTTAACGGTAACACGAGAAAACTGACGAGATAAACCGTATAAGAGATACTAATAGAAATAAACATGGAAAAATAATATAAAACAAAAAGGTAATGTTCCAAATTTATTCCATTAACTGTTAGCTAATAACTGAAGAGAAATAAAATATAAATAAGTTTTTCTGTTAATAATTAAAACTGTAGACACAGGCAATACAATAACTATACGGTATAAATATAATAATAGCGACAACTGATCAATTGATTGATAGTCAATGAACGATTAATAAATTCTCTTTAGGTACTCATCTGGATTCCGCGACGAAGCTGATAGCAATATTGCAATAATTAATATACAACTGTAATATTGCTGATGATGATGATGATGATGGTGACGATAATGATGATAATAATAATAGTAATAATAATAATAATAATAATAATAATAATAATAATAATAACAACAACAATAATAATAATAGTAATAATAATAATAAAGCTAATACTAATAATGCTAATAACAAATTTGATTAAAGACGGTTCACAATAAATGTATATGTTACTTACACATGCAGGATATACTCCTTACATAAAAATTTCACCATGATTCAAAATAAATATTACTCTACCAAAAGCGTAATTCTGTTAAATATCAGGTATACATAATAAATATTACCTTCTTAATTAATATTGGAGTACAAGAAATTTTAGAAACTAATAAATCATATAGATCTCGGTAAAAAAAAAAAAATTATAAAGTCACACAATTAAAAATGTTTAAATGTCTTGTATAATGTATCAAGCACATCATGTGTATCTCTACGAAAATACACGCACACAAATACGCTCTGGCATATTTCAATATTTGATTAAAATTTCGATTTAATCAGCACTGGTAAATCTCGCAGAGATATTAGATGCCCATAAAATATTTTTTTTGCTCTTTACGGAAATGGAAATTTGTTTGCATACACTGCAAATCAACGTCATATCATTTTGTATATGCTCTCCTATTTTTTCTCTTCATTCATTTTGCACTCGTAACAACTTCACAAAGCAAAATTAAAAAGAAAATATATACGTATAAATCGTGAGCAGGTTACAACGAAACAAGTTTTTCATCAACAAATACACAAATTCACAGCTATATTAAAAATTTAAGAAACAGAAAGAGTAGCGTGTATATTTATAAATAATATACAGCTATCTTAAATTGCACGCGATACTGAATTTGTTATATTTTATGCATTAATAGCTGCGTGAAATATTTAAAAACACGAGATCACTAAAAACAATTATTAAGCACTGATCAGTACTGAAAAGCACAGTTGCAGATTTTATATAGATTAATATAGATAAATAGATATAAATTAATAACGATTGAAATCTCAATAATAACACTAATAAATATAATATCAAAAAGCTGCCAAATTATGTAAAATTTATTTAAAGCCTATTTAGACCAAGTTCTATAAAACACTGTGAACAATCCTTCTTTAAAAAAACTAATAAAAACGTAAAACGCTATCGTACAATGATTTTTTAAAAAAGCAACTTAAAATATCATTATGCTAAAAAACATTGAAAAACAATGATTAAGTGTAAAATGAAATATTATAAAGTAATATCTCCATGCAAACAGTAAAATAATACTTCTCTGTCACAATCAAATCATGTCATTAATCTGAAAAATGACTTGGAGAATGGGTCCCTAATTTTGTTATTCTGCTACTCTTTACGATTTTTTCCTTCAATTCTACATGTCTACAGTGTTTTTCGTTCTACTTTGATTATAAACGCTACGATCGCGCACAATAATATTGTCTCTATGGTATGCAATGTAAAGTTCTCGTTTTTCCTTTTGTTTGTCTACCTAAAAACAGTATACATTCATTTTATCATGCATTCCCATTAATACAAAAAAGTCGATACCGGTCATCATAGTTACTATATAACCATATGAACCATCCATGCGGAATTATTTGCTATGCGATTACACAATAATACTCAATGTCATACCAAAAAGTGAAAATATAAATCTAATTATCTAGTTAAAACATATTAAAACTATAAATCTAGTTAAAACACATTTACAATTAAAACGCATCTCTTTAAAAAAGAAAGAATGAATTAGAAATCAATTCTATTAGATATTGATAAGCGTGCTACTCATGAGAATCTTTAATCGATTCTGCATGAATAAATCTTCAAGCATAGAATCTTTTTGCAACTCTGCAGCATTGTCGCATAAAATAAAAATCTTGCACAACAGAAACACATTCTATGCTTGTTAGACATCTCTACTAACAGTATTGGTAACAGAAGGCAGAGTTTTCTATGAATCCCTACGACATGGAGCAACATCAATACAAGAAAATATGAACATTTCAAAGCTTTCCAAATATCCTGCTCTGTATTTTTTGTAACATATATCAAAAAGTTGTTCTCTTAGGGAAAACAGGAAGAATTTCGTAGTCTTCCAATACTATCAAATGAAGTTAAATTTTGTAAAAACATTTTTATGACATAATACAATAACATTTTTATACACTCTGGTTTATATTTATAATAAATTACTAGATGAAAAAAAGAAATATTTTAAATTTAAATTGTTTTTTCATATTGTTAATGCTGTAAAAAAACAATCTCAAAAGTATAGCTGCCTTTTTTATAATAACACAGATAATTCAATGTTGAGCAGTAACGAAATTGGAAGATTTAAAATTTTCGTTTTTCTCAGAACAATTTGCTCCACATCTTCATTATTTTCTAGAAGAAATCTCTGCCTAAATGAGGGCGATTCGTCTGTTGCAACATTCGCATTCTACCTCGTCCGTTTGCACTAGTAGCGTGTCTTCGAGTATTTCGTAATTCTCGATCGACCTCCAACTCCTCCAATTTCATAGTCAAAACAAGCTTCTGTTGTACCGCTAGTCGTAGCAATGAATTCAACGTTTTCCTATCATCTTCCGCCACAGTCAATTGACGTTGTAACTCGTCAACTTGTGTCACATATTCTTCACAACGTGCGGCAAACATCGCACGTAAACCTGAGAAGTGTGGTTAGCAGGTATTAACACCAGATACGAAAAAGCCCATGGAGAAAAATATCAGAAACAAATGTAAAATTATGAAACGATACATTAGTTGTGTAAAATAGGAAATTATTCTTAAACATTAAAGCAAGGAGTGTATCGTGTTTCGATATTATTCTAAAATTTACCAAATATTAAGAACACAAGAAACATTTTGTAGGTTTTAATATTAATGTTTTTTTTTAGTACTTATAATAAACTTTGTTAATAAACAATATTTACATATTAAGATATATTAATATATTTTACTATGAGATAAAAAAGTATCGTTCATAACAGACTCCAAATGCAACTGCAAAATCGATTGTAGTGCAGCTCATTACAAGCAATAAAATGTACATAAATGCTGGTATTAATTATTAATTTTACGTTAATGTATTAATAAAAAAATATTAGTAACACAAAAATAGAAAAAAACGATAAATTAACTATATTCGTAAATATCGCCTTAAATATCACTACTATAAACATAATTTATACATTATTATAAACTTAAGTAGGTTTCATATTTAACTTACTTGAAAATGTTGCAGCATCTTCTTTTAACATTCTAAGCTCATTCCTCAATTTCAACATAGTTTCGTTAACGATACTCTTTTCATTTTCATATTTGCTCTTCAAATTTGTTAATGCTACTTCTGCAGTATTCTTGTTCGACTTCAGGACCGTCCTTAAAGTCGCAATTTGTTCACGTTTAGCGGATAACAAGGCCTTCAATCTAATTACTTGTTCTTGTAAATCTGCTACTTCTGCCTTGTTCTCATTCACTGATCCTGTAATTTATAAGAAATTAATAATAAGCTATAAAATATGTGTTAATTAAGCAAGAAGAAATTAAGAAATTCCTTTAATTTACCTTCACAAACATTGCAGACATTTGACTGCATTCCTTTAACTTTGGATAATTCAATTGTATGCTCTACAGCGCTTCGAAGATGTTTTATTTGATCCATCGCAGTTTCTATATGTTTCACGACTTCTTTTGCTTTACTCAGACTTTCTAAATCCTTAATTTGAATATCGGTCTTAAATAAAGTCCGACACCATTCTATTTTTCCATTCTCTTCTTCCTTTTCGGGAACAATCTTTTCATGATCGAGGATGACCCGTGAAGGAATTTCTCCGTTAACAGTACAAACATGGTGATACAATTGAGCAAGTTCGTCGGACATATTTTGCAAGTCGTTTTGTGCAAAATCAAGAAAACCACCAGCTTCCACTGCAAGTTTTGAAAGAATAGCAATGTCGGATTCGAGTTGTATACTTCTCTGCTCTGTATCTAAAAGCTGAAAAATAATAAATAATTTCTATAATCATATTAACTTTATTTCTTATAAGTAAACTATTTTTTATATTTGCTGAATATTCATTGTGATTTTATATACTGGGTATTTCCTATCTTTTTCCACAAATGTAGAAGAATAATCTATAACATAAAGAAAAATGTTACATCAAATTCGACAGTAAATACTTTATTGTAAAATTATATAAGAAAATACTGCAAGAAAAGGAGAGAAGACGGCTGGGTTAAATAATTCTAATTCCCGATGGCCAATCGTACTTCTCTCGTGTTTCAGACAAAACTGTTCTTCGCCTTCACGGTTTGCCCTTTTTAAAGGGTCTTCTTTGTATATTCACGGATCGAGCGGATCAACGGTTTGTTTGAAACTCCGGTTATCACCGCTACGTGCTCCTCACTCACGCCGCCTTATCGGTAACCAGAGCTCACTTACTCTTACAATAATAATGCAGCATTAACCCTTTGCGAACGAGCGCCGTATATATACGTTCGACGGAAACCATCAGTTTGGCCAAGGAACTCATATATGCGTTCGGCGAAAAAACTGATAGGGCCAAGGGACATTACGTGGGACATTTGTCCCACGTAAACATGTTGCTATGGCCTAGAAACACATATACTGTTGCAGCCCTAGGACTGCACGTCCAAAGTTAAGTGGTGGATTGTTTTATGTCCTTATTGTCAGCGTCGCTATGAACGAAAATCGCGTTTAAGTAGAAATGAGCGCTGGTAGTTTGAATGACTATCGCGGCAGCGGCTCGGCCCCACGGTACGGTTTATTCAAAACCGCTTCATCCGCAAAGCGTTAATGTATGCACAATAAAACAAAAGATTTACAGTATAGAAGTAACTACATGTAAAAAAAACCATATAACAAATTGATAATTCAGTTATTAATAATATCAACTATCAATCACAAAACATCATATGAACACAGATAAAGTAAATATGATAACTGTAGTAAACATGTATTTGTTTATATAATTTTGTAATAAAGTGTTTATAATCAATTTTCATATAATATTTTTTTCTTATTCTTTCTTATAAATTGAAGAATGCGCCCACAATTTGTTGAGAAAAACAGGAAACACACTATATAATAACCATTTTAACAACTTCGAACATAAAATCAGATTGTTTATATTTTAAGAAAACAGTACTTGACAGTTGAAGTAATTTTTGCAAGCCTGTACAAGATCATATACAGAATGTCTGTTTTAATATCGTGCGAACAGGCTCTGTGAATCTGACTCATGCTACGTTAGATGCAAGTAGAAACGAATAGAAGGAAAGTATCCACTGAGTTCTTGTTCCTAAGCACATTCTATTTTAAAGCCACAGTGCATAGCGATTGAGATCCGTACATTTATTCGAGCATTCGATAAAAGAACATTCAAATAGACGCTAATGTATCAACTAGTTTGTGAAAACAATACGCCAGTATACATAAAATTTGTAAAGATTTTCACAAAGGAGTTTATAATCCAAGATGTGATATATTCGTCAGTAGCCATAGAAATATATATAGTTAAAAATATGACATTATCAAAAGCAACAATGAGTTGTTAGGACAATGAAAAGCAATCTGTACGGATCACTAAAGGAGCCAAAAGACAAGTTGTTATTATAATAATTGATAAATACGTCAAAGAGACCACACGTTCCAACCTTTTCTCGAAGGCTCTTCTCTGACTCAGGGATCTGAAATGCCATAATTCCTATTCAAAGTCTAAATTTTGAATGTTAAATGACATTATGCCAGAGTCACAGTTTATTGTTGTTATTTACATGTACCGACTTTACTATTAATGAAAATTTATTAAGTTACTGACTTACATTTCAGTTCCTCATAATATTTGCTTCAATATTGCTGTTTATAAACTTGTAAAACAAAAGATATACAAAAGTGGAAAAAATTAAATGAACAAAAATAAAAATATAAAAGTAAAGGAAGTGAGATAGAAAATAAAAAATATGATAAAATAATGTATACCTTGTTTCTTAGGTTTGTTAATTCTGTACGTAATTGTTGAGTTGAATCAGATATAGTTAAACCATTTTCTAATTCAGCTAGATCCTTTTGAAGTTGATTCACTTCACGTGCAGACATAGTGCTCCATTGATGATACTGCATAATTGACTAGAAAATAAAATCAACACATATGAGTACAAAGTATAAAAAATTGCAAAGAATTTGTTCTAATATATTATATATACATACTTGATTCAATTTATCTAATGTTGTTTCTTCAGTTTGTTTTTCAGGTAACTTCGAATGAAGATGATGTAATGATTGCACATGAGCTGCTAATTGGACTATGCGTGCAACAAAAGACTGTAATTCATTCTGACTTTTCTCAACTGCATATTGTGATTCTCGTAAATTTTGTGTAAGATGAGCTTTCTCAGATTCTGCTAGTTCTAATTGTTTTTCTAATTTCTTCAATTCATTCAAATGAATTTCAGAAAATAAATCAACTTGTTTATCAGTAGCAGAAGTACCTGGTTCTTGAGTTTTTAAATCTGCTTCAATCCTACGTAATGCAGGAGAATCATCTTCTCCATCACTACATATTGTTTGATCTTCTGTAATTCCCCTAATTGAAAGTGCAAGATTGCTAAGATTATAAATTGATTCACTATTAATTCTTTGATCCAACTCTTTTTTAAGAGCATATTTTGCTTCACGCTCTGCTTGTAAAGATTCAAGTGCTTCTTCCATTTGCTTCTCAGCAATTTTTTTTAAATTTGTTAATTCTTCAACTTGACTGTTTAAAAGTTCAACTTCTTCTGTCAATCTTCTTATTTCATGTTTGACACCTTCAAATTCTACCTGACTGGACCTTAAACCAGATACTTGCTTCTGTAATAAAATATTTTCATCTTCCAGTTCCGAATAATCCTGGAAAAGTCGAGCTTCTCGAAATCTACATTCACGTAACATAGTACGTAAAGATTTCCTCTCTGTTTCTGCTTGTTGGTGATCTTTCCCAATTTCATCTCGTTCTTGTAATGCATGATCACGTTCTGCTTGTACACGTTCTAATTCATGACGTAACTAAATAAAACATTATCAAATGAAAATATATAAACATTAAAAATTATCATTTTTATAAAGAATAACATATACCTGCTTTGTTTCATTTTCCAATTCAATAATCTGTGTTTGGAGAGATGTTTCTCTTGCAGCACTTTCGCTAAGTAGAGTTTCTTCTTGTTCTATGCCACTTTTTGTAGTTAATTTTGTGGTGGTTTGAAATTTTGCTAGAGCCTAGAGAAATATAAGAAACAATTATTCAATATAAAATATAGAATACAATATAAAAAACTTAATTTAAACAACATCACTTCAAAATCAAAAAGTATTAAAATTATAATAATAATGTAACTTCATTTGATGTTAATAACTAATCTAATATAACTAATGAAAATCTAATTGCCTTACTGAAGCATGTGAGCATTAATGTTCAATAAACATGAACCGATTTGTAGCAAACATATGTTAGAGAAATTGAAAATTAAAAAGGCAATTAATCATTACTGAAACTTCTCAAAAAATGACAACTAAGTAATTCACGTGCATCAAAATACAAAAAATTGAACTAACCTCTTGTGTGATTACTAGCTCGTGTTTCGTGTTTTCGTAGAGGGCCTCGAGATCGTTGCATCTTTGTTGTAAGGTAGACTTCTCTTCGAGCAAAGCGAGACCGTATTGAGCAGATTGTATTTTTTCTGTAGAAGCTAAATCTAGTTCCCGTGAAAGTCTCTCGATCTCGATCCTGAGCTCCTCTATCGTGACTCCTTCTGTCGTGGCCATTGCTGTGCGCACCGTTCAAGATCACTTCGCTCCTTTTTCCGTCGAATGCTTCCTTGTCGTTACCACAAATAAATCGGAGCATCGGCGGTCGTAATATATTTTGAACGTCAAGGCATGATGCCGATATATTCGTGATGCAAATTTTTTGGCGTGCCCACTTCCCAAAGTCTCACATCTTCCGAAAATTCACGACCGTTTGACAGACGTGAGATTAAGGTGAGAGGGCACGGGAAACTCACACAGACCGGATACATATTCCTACACATGTTCCATGTTCCTAGATTCTCACTTTATCATTCCACTGTTCCGTTCTGTTAAAGTATTAATATAATACTTTAATTTTTTAGTTGTTGAAATTTTAATATGTCCAAATATTAAGCAAGCAAATCTTTCTTTCTCAAAATAAATTTTTAAACATTTTAAATAAACAATAAATAAAATTTGTTTATTAAATTTTTGAGAAAATACATTTTGTCTTCATGCACATATGAAAACTTAAAATAAATATTTATTTACTTATTTATTTGTATTAACTGAATTTATATAACTGAAATATTAACTGAAAAATTTGTAGAGGTATTTAATTTTTATAAATTACCATTTTAGTATTTAAAATAAAAATTGTATACAGTTATATTTTATAATTTATCTTTCAAGAGAAGTTATTTTTTATATTTCATTTTCATTTTCTACGAGGAACATAATATTCATTTATTCGATGTTACGACTTTAATTTATTTTTCCTCGTGCAAAGTTTTATAAACAGATATGTATAACTATTTAATATCTCGTCAAAAAGTAACAAAATATAAAGTATAATATTCTTATAAAAATATTTATGATTAAATATGTGTAAAATAAATTTTTCGTTATTATTTAAATAAACAAATACTTTATATAAAATTATTAAGCATTATATTGGTAAATTATGCAAGTATTTGAGCATTACTTCTATGTATAAATCAATGCAAAAGTTGTTCAATATTTAATTTTCAAAAAGCCCTACACAATTATATGTAAAAAGGATTAACAAACTGAAAAGGAAATTATAGATTTACATTTTATTAATAAGTGATCTCGTCTTTCAACTAAAACATAAATAGTACATAAAGTATGTCCATAGATCGTACTACACTTCCTTGGTCGTAGATGCAACAGTACCCCTTAAAATAATAGATGAATAGAATCACCTGATAAGCATTATATGGGGAACAGAAAAGAAAAACAAGATCTCGTCTTTGCCTCTCCGTACACATTCTATTTCAAAAATTCAGTTTAAAAACATAACTTCAAATACTCCGCAATCCTTTATTACTTTGTAGCTTATTTTCTTTTTTTTCTTCCTCTTCATCCTCTTCTTCATTTTCTTCCTTTAAGTATTAATAGATTAATATAAGTCGAGCCGTGATCGGCCGTACACGGATCGAATTAGTTCATACACTGTAACAGTCGTATTCTTTACAATATTCGTACGTAAGTCTTGTAGCAGAGACAAAAGCGCAGGTGCCCTATTCGCACTCGTTTTTAATGCTCGTTCTGAACCTCTGGTGCCACCAAAGAACCCCATACCTAAATCGTATATCTTCAAAGTATGCTTTTCCTTCTATTGATATCCTACATAGTAAGATATCTTTCTCCTTTTTTGTTTTGTTTGTTTGTCTCACATGATACATATCATATATCTGTGTGCATGTAAATATTGAAGTTGTACAACATATCGATTACAGAACAAAAAACAAAAGTACTTTCACCACATGATTTTACTCAGTTGTTTTTTTACAACTCGTGCATCCAATGAGAGCACCAAAGGTTACGGTTCATTAGCGAAATACAATTTTTTGATCCTCCAAATCTCGTCAGACGCACTAGCGCACTGATTACTACTACCAAAATCATGTATGAGATCGGTTTAAGTCCCGAACAGTTAAGTGTATAAAATGTTGCAGGACACCTCTACTACGCAATACACAACGCACATGGCGCTTTCTTCAGTTCCACCGAGTCAGGCACGCCTGGCTTCTGAACATTAATACACATTGTCGCTGCTGGTAAAAGCATCAGTTTTCCTGTATACACGCAGTGCACGTGGCCATTCGTGGTCTTCTACCAAATAGTTTTAAAAAGAACATCCTTCAAAGGTTGTATGACTCCATAAATGGGCACGTGCACGACATGTTCATGCCAAATCTACCTATACTGAACATAGATCCGTGAACGATCTTTTTGTAAATTTAAATTGAATTGTTCGTTCGGTAGAGCGAATTTTCAATCAAAGTATTAGGAAGTTAATCAATTTATATACCCCTACAACACTGCTCGCATTTATAAACACAGTATCACCATCCAAATTTAACTGCAGTCTATTTCGTTTACCATTAAACACATTTTCATTTTCTTTCATCACCTTCAACCTCATATTTTCTTTTTTAGAAAAAATCTTGCATAACTTTGTACTTGTAATAACATAATAGCCTGCTAGTACCACGTTCGGAAAGAAATAATTCTAAATCCGTAACATATTTTTTTTTCTTTTTATCACCTCATGATTTTCAGCGACTGTGCTCGACAAGAAAAAAAATTACTAGACAAATCGTATCTAAAAATTTCATTCTACAACTTATAAAAAAGATTAATGTAGTACTTTATACATGAAAATATAATTTGCTTTTTTTCTGTGATGTATAAATAAGAGAATCATTGGAATTAGTCACCAGCAACGACCAGAGTATATCTAGCTTTTTACAGTACAAAATACAGCTCCTGCACATATGTATGTATATATGTATACACATATGCGCATATATATATATACATATACCTAGTAACGAAATATTTCACCATATGTAAGGATATAGTAAGGCAAAGTGCAACTGCATCCTTTGAAAGTTCGTAACAATCACTGACAATATGAACAATGGTGATCCTCGGTATAACAATTATGATTGTACATACAAAATGTGCAAACTTGTATAGACCTCTGTGTTTATATGTATATATACATATATACGTTGTGATGATCACTGACGACCATACCAGTAATTGCATTCATTTTCACTTAAAGAATCTGACATACAAAGCACACATATTTTGCCCTAGTTTATGAGAATCTGACATAATACTTGAAGTATAATTGTATATAAACTCGTAAACACTGACAATCCTACAGTTGTGTAGCTTTTGTTGATGTTTGAAACTAGGTCTGTTGTAAAATAATAATTCAACGATCCTCATTACATCCTTACACATTAAAAATTGGCGTTACTAAACCTTACTTATATGTATTCAGGGCCGGCATGTTCACTTCCTTTCCCATTACTTCTGAATTTTTTCTTCTTAACTCGAGTTGCTAGAGAGTTCGAGAGGGAGGACCGGATACAAGATGCGTGGATGTGAGAAAGGAACATAAAATTGATTTATTACGTTTTTTACGTAGTTATTATATCCCTTTCTTCTATCAAACCGTCTATCCATTTATAATTCAATGATTTGATAATTTTCTTCATTTCAATATGAATCATCAACAAATATCTCAAATCCCATCAGTCAATACTGACAAAATATGTCATAAATGCTGCACTTGTAAAATTTCATTAATGATATATATTAAGAATCCATACATCTTGCATCACAAAACAATGCGCGTACGAGATAGTTTGAAGGTCAGGGGACAGAGGATTCATGTCTCTACTCTAATTCAATCGAATGTTTATAATATTATTACATCGTATAGTGTGTATTCATGTAATGCTGGATGTGTTCTATGTGTAATGTACTTTGTGCGCGCGCACGCATGTATAGTGTAATGTAACAGCAATTAAAAAAAAAAAAACCAAAGATGTCATAAGAAAAAACCCTTGCGAAGAGAACAACGACACGTAGAAAGGGAAGGAAACTAGGAATAAAATGGGCTTCCGGGAGTTGAGCATGGAGAGATGGAAATTCGAACGACTATGACAAAACGCATTTTTAGCAATTATACGCATCAACGAGACATACGTTCGCACATCCCTACCTAGCTACAATCCCCGGTAATAGCGCGCGCGACGGTAAACGGCTTATCGTTAAGCGAGCGGCACGGATTCCGGTTATCTCCTACTTTCTGTCATCCTGATCACATTCACGGCTTAAATGACCAGTCTTGCCACAAGTGTAGCATGCCTTTCCACCGACTTCAGTGCAATTGCGAGCGAAATGACCTGTTTTATTACAATTATAGCAACTTTGCATTCCAAAACGTCCAGAATCATTACCACCTTCTGGGCAGCTGCGTGCCATATGACCAGTCTTGTTGCAGTTGTAACAGCTCATTTCAGGCCCCTGTTAAAAGTATTCTAGGTTACAATATCATTTTATTGTTAATATATTATATCAAGTTTTGCAATATTTTTATGTATGTAAAATAAGAAAACATACTAAAAATCAATAAAGGATAAATTTATAAGAGAAAAATTTTAATTTTATATTGGATTGGACACATATGCATTAAAATTATAATAACCTGTTGACAGTCTTTTGCAATGTGCCCTACACCTTGGCAACGGTAGCAAAGGTCTTGATCTTCTTTACATTCTCGAGCAAAGTGTCCAAATTGGTTACATTTGTAGCACTTGTCTCGACCACGTGCAAAGCCACCTTCTCGATCACGACCACGGTCGCCTCTACCACCACCTCCACCACCTTGCGGACACTCTCGTGCATAGTGACCCATCCGGTTACATTTATAACACGCACTTGAACTCATTTTTTATAAATCTATAACAAAAATTAATGAATATATTATATATACTTTTTAATACAAACATATATGATGATAATTAAGGTTTTTATAATATATCAATAATAAATTTAATTTCAATTGATACACTTTAAAGTGATATATAAGTCATGTTATATATATATATATAAATAACATAATTACATAAACTGACTACACAGATAAGAAAATTTGTTGATATTTAAATTATAATATATTACTCAGTAACACAAAGCCAAATATTACAATAAATAATATATAATGCATAATATTAAAATACATTTGAAATATTTAAAAATTTATTAAAATTTCACATCATTAAACTATCATAAATAACTGTTAAACTAACATCTATGATGCAACAGTACACTTTGCTGGACAATATATACATATCTTTCAAATATTAGTTAAAATGAAGTAAAAAGTGGAAATGTGTAAAAGAAGAACTGCAATATAGACTCTAAAGATACTTATAGATAAAAAAGAAAAAATTTGGTAAGACACACTCTTTATTTTAGATGTCTAAACAACACCAAAACTATAATATGAAACTTGAAAAATGTTCGCAAAAATACAATAAGCTACTTTAAATAACAATATAAAATGGCATCGTGTATCCAATCCATCCATAGTAGGAATACGTAGAATACACGTGTTTGAGAGAAGCGTTGTGCACACAGAAGCTGTTTCTGTTCCAAAGATGCTAGCAATACAGCAACATTCTACCAGAAAATTAATATTCAAATCATTATGTACAAAACCCTCAGAAATCGCCGTCTATCGTACAACGTGGCTCTCTTGCCCCCACTTTGCAGTGGTGGTACGCAAGTACGCCACGGCGCGAAGATGGCATCCAAGACTGACGCCGTACTGCGCTTTTTTTGCATCGCCAAAGAAAAGATTATCGAGGGTGAGGTATACATGTATGATAAAATATAAAAGCCTCTGTATTAAATGATAGAAAGAAATTTTCTCTGCGATATAGACGGACCAAATAAAATCTTCATTTGCTATAGAATGAGAAATTGAACTAACGAAGTCGAGGACCACGTGTGGAATCGCACAGAAAGAACCGCGGACTCGCTATCGCGACATAGAGCATCATTCTTTAACGACGACATAGTAACTTACCTCTGGTGCCTGATGGAAATGCACAATAAATCCTCCTTTCGTTGGGCTTTACCGACACGTCAGGAACAATGGGTCCGCGGGAAGTACTGTTTTCCTGGGAAAACTCGAACCGATACTCAGCCGGATGACTGCGGCGACCATTGACTATGGGAAGGAAGACAGCCAATCGTCGCTATGTTGCCCGCCAAACTCCGTTGCAATAATGAACGCCACCTCCCTTACTGCGACTATCGTAACCGACTTAAATCACAAATATATTAATTTTTTCTGACGAAATTACCTTTTTACCTCTTATACAATGGATTAATCGTTTATTAAAATATCACTATTCCACTGAAGCATCGATTAGAACTGAAATGGAAGAAGGCAATATGACTTTAATATTGGTGATGACCAACTTCGACATCTATTGGTTCAATGTCTTCAAAACTGCGTTGATAACTCATTTCAACCAATCACATTACATTTAGAGTGCATCGTAACATCATCCAATTTGGAACGGATTCATATCAATAATGAACCTCTATATTTTATTAAAAAATAATTAAATAAAATTGATTCTAAAAATAAAATTATAGTTTTAATGTTGTTATTATAGTAGCATATAGAAAGTAAATAAATTTAATAAAAACAAATAATAATTCATACTTATCAAGAAAAAAATATTTTATATACATATATGGCGATTTATGTACATCCGTCGTTCATTGGAAGACGTGATTTATAAATTTTTCTTGTTTACATGTAACAGTAAAAAAAGATACCAAATTTTAGGAACGTGTTAAATTACTAATTGACGTAAATATTTTTTTATACAATGATTAGATTAAAATTAATCAAAAATTTAATATTGGTATTTGTTAATTATAAGTAATGAGTGTATTATTTTAAATATTATATACATAAAATTACAATAAAAATATTAAAAATAATAAAAATGCAATGTATAAAATATATTTTCTATTACATACTGTATTTTTAAACCCATATTAGCCATTTTTAGAATCTCAATATTTATGAAAACTGTATTAATAACTGATTTTTAGTTTTAATAATTTCTTAGCGATTTAAATTATAAAAGATTTTAATATTTCTTCAGCATTATTTCTATAATATTTATTTATCTTAAGCAAATTAACTTAAAGCTATATTTTTGTCATTTAAAATAGATTTTGATAAATATATTCTATATAACTGTGCATACACACGTGCGTGCGTGCATGCCTGTGTGTTTAAATTTTCTTTTTCATATTGTCTAAATATCAAATTTTCTAACGTATAAGTAAATATAACCTATAATTTTTTTACTTTATTGCATTCTCATTCTTTGTCGACTTTGTTACTTGATGTTGGATATCCTTGGTCCCATGTATATACTCTTCATAAACAATTGCATACATATGCAAGTGCTATAAATATTATCGCTTAATAATGACTATTAATTAACAAGACAAGAAACACAAAATAATCTTTCTTAAAAAGTGCTTATTTTAAGTATGAATATATAAAGAATATTTTTATAATTTAAGAGTAGTAAGCTATGTGCATCATGTAATATATTAAAATGTTTTTAAAAAATGTTAAATTTATAAAATTCAGTATTAAATCATGTTTTCAATTGTAATTAGTAATTTAAATAATACATGTATTAAATTTATTTTAAACTTAATTTTGAATACATACTTTTTTACTACTTTAATAATACTTAGTAGTTTGAGGTTAAGTGTAGTTTATTTTAATAAATGTATTCGTGAATTATAGAAATTAAAGACAATGTCTTTATACGACGATTTTGACAAACACAGAACATCAGAAAAAGTGGCCGGATGGTCATCTAGTATTAAGTTACTACAATCTCAATTACAGTTGAAAAAAGCTGCTACTACACAGGTACATTTCTTCTATAATAATGATTAAATTATAATAGTATTTAAAATTATTGTTTTATTGTATGTTTAGCCAAAACGTGAACAATATAGGAAAGCAACAGCAGTTCTAGCACCTGTAATAGATTTAAAGTCAAAAGCAAATCGAAACACAGATAGAGATGATGATGGACCTCATAATAATCCACTTTCTTCTGGTACTGTTAGTAGTATTGGTGTAGGAGGGGAATTTGATTGGAATGTAATAAATGAGTATGATCCCATGTGGCCTAATGAATATGACAAAGTTGTTAAAGAACTAAGAGATTTACGTGATAGAGAACATGATCAAGAGACTGAAATGCGTAAGCGTAGAAGAGACAGTTCACGTTTTGAAGATACACAGGTAATATTATAATTTCATTATTCATATGTAAAAAGAATTCTATATTTAAAGGAAAATATAAAGGTAATGTAAATACTTGTCTTAGACTTCTTCTGGAAATAGTACAATGATTCTTCCTGAAAGGGATGAGGAAAGAACTCCCACATCAAGAGGTATTGCTGGAGGAGCAGCTATAGCTCCACCACCTTCTTTACAAGAATCATCTGATCTTCCACCTCCAGCACCAAGACCACCAACTAGCATGGGATATGCTACATCATCAGTAGCAGCAAAAATAATGGCTAAATATGGTTTCAAAGAAGGGCAAGGACTTGGTAAAAAAGAACAAGGAATGTCTGTTGCTTTACAAGTAGAAAAAACTAGTAAACGAGGTGGTAGAATTGTTGGGGAAAGAGAACAACTAATGCCACCACCACCACCTGTTGCTGTTTCTCCACCTCCAGCACAAGTTGTTCCTCCACAACCTTCGGAAGAACCTAGCATTACAGAAATAATGAAATGTCCAAGTAAGGTAAGAAAGAACTTTATTTTGTTCATAAATAAGAAATAAATTTATTTAATAATAATATTTGAAATTCAAATTTATAATTAATATTTGTTACTACTCGAAATTGTAATTCATAGTATTTTTTTATAAACTTATAAAACTTATAAGTTATAAATTTATATAATACTAATAAACTTCAGTAATAAACTGCAAAATAAAATATAAATCTTTTTTATAAAATATATAAGTATAAAATATATGAAAAAAATATATCAAATATTTTTCATTAAAATATATATTGTTATCAATCAGGTTGTACTATTGCGTAATATGGTTGGTCCTGGAGAAGTGGATGATGATCTTGAACCAGAAGTTAAAGATGAATGTAATACAAAGTATGGCGATGTTGCGCGTGTTATTATCCATGAAGTAACGGAAGCTGCTCCAGAAGAAGCTGTTAGAATTTTTGTGGAATTTAAGAGAATAGAAAGTGCGATTAAGGCTGTTGTTGATTTAAATGGACGTTTCTTTGGTGGGAGACAAGTCAAAGCAGGTTTTTATTCCAGTGAAAAACTTGATAGTTTACAGTTAATGGACTAACTTTTTATTTAATAATTTTATTTAATAAATGCAATTTAATAAATACAAATGAAATTAATGTGCTGATTATTATGTTAACAATTGTATAATTTATTGTAGTTCTATTAAAATGTTTATGTTAAATAATAAAATGAAATGATTATTTGATGTAAAGAACAAAAATTAAAAAATTGACATAATAGTCAACATATTAACAAACATTTCAATTTATATCCTACTACAAATAGAGTGCAATATAATTAAAATATTTTTATATATTTTACATTATTCATACTGTTTTTTTAAATTTAATATAAATTATGTGCACAATAAATACAAATAATAAATAAAAGAAATTTATAATTTTACAAAATAATTCAAAATATTAGATAAACTTAAATCTTCAATATTAAAATGAAAATTAATATTTTAGAAAGTATGTAACATTAAAAAAATATAAGAACATAATTTTTTGTGATGTCATAAAATAAAATTATGATTATATTAACAAATAATATAGCAACTTATAATTACATTATTATTCATTTATATAAATCACACTTTAAAAAATTTGACAACTGAATATTACTATTAATAAAAGTACTATATAATTACTATTAATATAATCAATAGTACTAATAAATTGAAATTTACACAATGTGATTCTTATTTCTTTGTCCTATTTTGTTTTATTTTCATATCAATGTACATCATATAAAATATGTAATAAAATTGTAATAATTTAAATTTTTATCTGTAATATATAAAAGTTAACTAACTATAATAATTTTTTTTGTATTAAATCTTCAACTGTTTTGTTCAATTGAGCACTAAATACATCAAAACTAAAAGTTTTAGCAAATCTTTTTTTTCCTGCATTACCAAATTCTTGAATATACACTGGATTTTTAATTAAGTAAGCTATTTTTGAAGCAAATGCATCTCCAGATAAATCAACCAAAAATCCAGTAACTTCAGGAATTATAGATTCTTTTGGGCCACCAGAATTATGTGCTATTACTGGTTTACTCATATACATTGCTTCAAGTGGTACAATACCAAAATGTTCATTTGGAGGTGTATATAATAAAATCTTAGAATGGTATAAAATAGATACCTTATCGATATCTGAAGGGGAGCGAAGGAATATTACTTTGTCTGTAACATATAGTTCATCAGCAAGCTCTATTAATTCTAAATAATGTTCTACATTTTCTTCAACTCTTTTGTCATATCCACCAGCCATAATTAAATATACTTTTCTGTATTCTTCTTCTGTTAAATACTTTTTAAGTTCTGCTAGTGCTTCTAATGCTAGTCCCAAATTTTTTTTACGTTCATATCTGTTGATAGATAATAATATAATACTATCTGAAGGTAATTTTTTATCAAGTACTCTTTCTAAAGACATTATTGGAGTTTTATCAAAAAAGTCTGTATTAATAGAGGGATACAAAATTTTAGGTTCAATATATAATCTTTTAAATGTATCCTTAAATACACAACATGTATATGTGCTATTTACAAATATTTTATGTGCCATTCCAGTTGATATTTCTTCCAAATAATTAAGGAATATACGATATAATTTTTTACTAATTCCTCCTGGTTGTGAGAGCAATTGATCTGGATAATGACAATAAAAAATTATATATGGAATTCGTAATCGAAGAATAGGTATACATATAGAAACCAAATCACAGAATACAATATCTGGCTTATGTTCACAGAAAATTATATAGCTAGCTGCATATATCTAGAAAAAGAACAGTAAAAGATATGAAAATGATTTATAAAATTGTCATTTTTTAAGAAATAAACTTACCATACGAATATAAGCACAAAGCGCAAAGAATCTCCCCAAGATATGTCTTGGCAACCAATTTCCTACAACTGTAACAGGAATCGTTCCATCTCTTGTTTCAGAAAAGCAATGTTCCGGATCGTGATGAGTTGTCACGACATTAACCTTACAACCTCGATTTTTTAAAGCTAACGCAGCATCAACTACTAATCTTTCTGCTCCTCCGATGCCAAGATCCGGATGTAAAAATGTAACACTTGTCATTTTTATTAATTTAATATCATTAAAGACATTGATCAAAGAAATAATATAGTTCAAAATTGTTTACGATATTATTGACTTATAGTGTGGTAACACCTGTTAGTTCTTTAAAACTAACAGGTCTTATTTTCAATGCAGATCAACGTAGGTCATAGAAATCGCCAAAACAAATTAGTGAAATATTTTATGAAGTTCAATATATACGTGAAGGTTTTTCATTTGAATATTATCATATAAAAATATAAAAAACATATTCAGATAAGACTGTATACTAAATAAAAGTCTTTATAATTTATTGATAACGAAAGAAATTAAATATTTTCACAGTTTTTTTTTAGTAATTAAAAGGTAAACATAATTCAGTTTTGAGAATAATTAAATATTTATTGTCAATTATGTTAAATGTTACAAATAATATTCTAACAAAAAGTATAAAGAAATGTTTAAAAGAATCGTTTTGTTTAATGGACAGTGATAATGATGGTTATTTAGACTATTATGAAATGAAAGCTGCATTAAAAGCTTTAGGTTTTGTAGCAAAAAAATCTTATATTTTAGCTATTATACGAATGTATGACAAACGAGATTGTAATAAAATTTGTTTTGAAGATTTTAATTACGTTGGTATGTTTAACAAAGCCATTATATCTAAGCAATTAAATTTAATAAAATAACTATCGAAGAAATTTATAGTTACAACATTTATTTGGTCTTTAATATTATATTAATCAAATTTTAATATTTCCATAGTGTCAGAGAAGTTAAATAAGCGAGATCCTTTAGATGAAATTAAATATGCATTTAAGTTATTTATAAGCAAATCTACAAATGACAAGATAACATTAAAACATTTACAAATACTTAATAAAGAGTTTGAATGTAATTTAACCAATGAAGAAATGGAACTTATGATTAAAGAATTTGATTTGAATCAAGATGGTTTTAGTAAAAGAATTTTATTTTGGATTAATTAAATTACTGCAAAAAACTTAAATCTATTTTTATATAATTCCTTATTTATTTTGTATTATAAATATGTATGTAAATTATGTTTCTGATTTCAGTTGATCAAAGTGAATTTATGGATATTATGTTGGATATTACAACTTAAAGGACATTTATTTTCTTCAATGTGAATATATTTATTAACATTATCACAATGAATTTTGGAATTAACTGGGATGAAGAACATCGACAACCATTATTAGAAGCAAATGCAGTTCTGGAACGTTCATCGCAGTCTATTGCTAGATCTCAAGCAATTGCTGTTGAAAGTGAACAAATAGGGACAGAAGTAATTTCTGAACTGGATGAGCAAAGAGAACGATTATTGCAAGCAGAAAGAAGATTATCACAAACAGATGAAAAATTAGATAAAATAAAACGTATATTAAATGCTATGCAAAGAAGAGTTCTAATGAATAAATTTGTATTAATTTTAATTATATTACTAGAAATAGCTATACTTGGTATTATTATATATTACAAATATATATTGTAAATATGTATTATGTACATAAATAAATAGGTAAAAAAAAATATATGTATAACTTATAAGTTTAAAGATAAAAGTATTGTATACTTACTTTAGTTTGTATTTTATATAATATATTAATATAATACAAAAAGCATATATTATGTACAAATTTTATTTAATACTGTGTTGTAATTAATGTGTTTTTATGAATTATGTGTAAAATAAGAAATATTTTACAATTTGATACAATTTTGTAAATTAATATATCATGAGAGCCACTGGTATATGATACTAAATGAGAACTACCAACCACACGTAATAATTATTATTAATAAGTGATATAATTATATGAATATCTATCATTTCTATGTTATAATATTTTATTACAATGTTTGATATATTAATATTAATACAGAAACATTACTTTTATTTTTTAAATACACAAGAACTGATTCTTCGCAAAATTATGACAGTTACTTTTAATGTTGCCAGCACATGAACGATCAAAGCGCAGTGTAACGCTATTATTTTGAACTATCATGTCATATACTACAGAGCTATTGTTAAATTAAGTATTTAACAGTTATCGACGAGACAGTCTGGAAATTAGAACAGCTGAAGACTAGGAGAATCTTTAGCATTTTCTGAATTAGTATATGATCGGATCATGGCGTATGTTAATGTCGCTGAATGGAAAACTGAGCAAGTGTGTGAATGGTTAAAAGGTATGAAAAATTGAATTTCCTTTAGAATTAGTGTATTCACCCATATAACTTAAGAAACGAGTGAATTTTGTAATTTGCACGATGTGTCGTGAAAATTTGCGCGTAAAAATCTTGCTCAATATACGCGCATCTCTTCTCTTTTTTTCCCTTTAACCATTTAGTTATATATGTAAAATATTGTTGATTTATTTAAGTATTTGTTCAATCATACAATTTAAAAGTGATATATTTATTGTTACAAAATTTTCAATAATACACAACTTGATATCTTCTAAAAATATTTCATAACTGCAACAATTTTATTTATTTTTCAAATCTGTAATGTTAATATTTATAAATGACTATTGTTTACATTATTTCAGTATTGTCTTTTCATTATTATTAACTTTAAAACAAATTAAATTTAAAAACAAAACAAAGTTATCATTTATACATAAAATTATACAATTTGTAAATAAATAATTACAATAAGAACAAAATTAAACATTTTTTTTCATATTTTATCACTTTTAAAAAGTTTTATTAACATTTGTTTATGTATTATTCTTATACATTATTTATGCATATTCTATTTCATTTTCACATTTTTTCTTCTTTTTTTTATTATAATAGGATCTTTTTAGTAAAAAATGATTTTTATTTTAGGTTTGGATAATTCTGTTCTTCCCTATGTGCATAGTTTTACAAATCATGGTGTCAATGGACAACAATTATTAAGTTTAAGACCTGAAGACTTAGAACATCTTGGAGTATTAAAACTTGGTCATCAAGAAATTATTCTTGAAGCTGTAGAATATTTAAGAAATTTTCATTATGAACTTGATCGTGAAAATCTGCAATTGTTGGCATTACGATTATCGTGTCAAGCACATAGTTTGCAAAATGAATTGTCTCGTCAAACAGATTCTAAACCTGTTACAACTCAAACATTATCTGATGTAGCATCAGTAATAATGGCTGTAAAACCATTAGTAAGATGGCTTGATCGACCTCCTTTTAGTGGACAATTGGAATACAATGACAAAAAAGTAGAATTAATGAAGTTAGCTTTAGAAATGGCCACATGTGCACAAAGAGATAGATTTGCAGAGAAACCAATAGAAGAAATCAGAACTATTTGTGGACAATTAGCAAAATTGGCAGATTATATAATACAAGATATTACTGATCCTATGATATTGCAGCCTGCTAGTTTAGATTTGGCAACATTAAAAAAGAAACCAGGAGATGATTTAGTAAGTTTCAAATATCAATTCAAAGTAAAATAATTTGATCTATTTTACTTCTTTATGTTTAAATAACTTTATGATAAATTATGATAATAATAAATAATATATATATATAAAATATTTTCCACAAATCATAAAATAATGTACTTTATAATCATTGTAGGACAAAATTATCTGCTACATCCTTTAGTGATAAAATTATCATCATTCAACACAACTTTAATTTCCTGTTTAGATAATTGTGTTACATTATATAGTAAAATTAATATAAAAGAATAATTTTCATAACAAACGTAAAAAATGAAAGTTAGAAAGAATTTTCTTTTTGTAGGGATTTTATATTTTACCATCTTTTCATGGATCTCATCAAATTGCTGAAATTAAATTTGGATCAGCTGCACATCAATGTGGTAAGATGGAAGAAGGAGATGAAATTGTTCAGGTATTGTCTTTTTCCTAATGGAATTTTTGTTTATTACGTAATTTATACAATTTAATTTTAATATTTTTCAGGTAAATTATCAAACTGTAGTTGGTTGGGAAAGAAAAAATCTTTTAGAATTGTTTCGTGAAAGTCCAGCAGAAGTATTATTAACTTTAAAACGTAGACCAAGACATACAAAAGTCTATGGTCAAATTTACATAAAACCATATCGACTTCCAAGCAATAAAAAAACATCTTACACAACACGATGGCAACACAATCTTCCATCACCAAGACCAGAATTATTAACCATACCAGATTTTACAATGCCATTACCAAGGTATGTATATATATTTATATACATACATGTGTTCCATTCATGTTGAAATCAATACGAATTTTTTAATTTGTTTAGGCCAAAGAATCCCAGTCCAGAACCTGCAAGCATTTTAGATACTGTTAATATACTAGATACAATGATAATAGATAGTAGCGATTCAGATAGTGAAACAGAACCACCTTTATCAATTCGATTATATTCTACAAAACCAAGAAACTCAGTTCAAAGACGAGCTACAATAACTGGTGCTAGTCCTACTACCAAGCATGGAATTGATATAGAACAATTTTGGAAAGAATTAAAACAAGAACATAGTACAACCTCTCAATTACGGGACAAAGCAGCATCTTGTGCTCATGGTTTAGATAATGTACCATCAAATATACGGCCACAAACGTGTATAAGTATAGAACAAAGCAAAAGGAAAAAGAGGAATGATGGACAAACTGATGATAAGAAAGTACAATTTCAAGATAAACTTATGAAACACGATATTCCTCAAGTAGGAAATACAATCAGTATAATACACGAGAAGAAAGATGAATGTAAAACTACTCAAATTTGTGAGGAACTGTTAACTACTAGTAATATAAATACATCCAGCCAAATTTCTCAAACATCTGCTAATGTTACCAATAACAATAACCTGAGTGATACAAGCGTGCCTTTAGATGAGTGCAACAATTTTATTAGGGATAAACATAGTAGTAGTAAAAATATGGTAAGCAGTAAAGAACCTAGTATATATAACGGTAAAGAGCGAGGAAGATTAGATAAAAGTTACAGTACACCAGCGTATGATTTAATGGACGTTCACAATATAGAGGACAGAAAACAAAAGTTATTTTATGTATTAGAATCATCTGCAAATAATGTAAGCAATGTATCAAATAAGACTGATTTTCAATTGACTTCTACAAATTTCGAAGATCAACAAGGATTGAGAGATGTTGATGATCAGAAACAAAGTACTCAAAAAAATTTTAATAGTAATATCCGAAAAAGTAGTGATATTGATAACTATATTACTCAAGATAACAAAGGCAAATGTTCTGAATCATCTGAACATTCGGATTCGTTTAAAACTTCTATATGTAAGATAACTGATGCAAGTCATAAAATCAGTATAGAAAATAACCAAAGCAATAACGAATGTATTAGTACCGATGTAAATAAGTATGACATGAAAAACATAACAAACAATTTAAACGTTAAAACGGAAAATACGTCAAAAGTATGTAACACACAAAATTTTGCAAATAATTCAAATTCAAATCATGAAACTAATGAAAATAAATTGGAATTAACAAATAGTTTTGTGCAAAAATGTGCCGATAATAATTTAAATTTGAATAAATTTGGAAAGATTCATCAAACATTTAATGAACCAAAAGATTGTGGTTCAATAGAACATAAAACATTAATGGAAAAGATAAGTAATGTATCAGTGAAAGAAAAGATACAATCTCCAGGACAAGTATGGACAAATAATAATTTGTATTCTGTTGGAGATAATACACAAACTAGAAACATTCCACAAATTCAGATTTATCAAAACATACAGAATGATAATACAATAACTGAAGATGCTATTAATCAAGGAAATGCAGTACAATCATGCAAATGTATAGAACTAACAAAAATTGAATCTAGTAAGAATCTAGAAACTAAACCGCATTTAATACCTCCAGATCCACCTCCACGTAAATACCATTCAAAGTTAACAATAGATTCATCTTTAAGTAATACTTCAAAAATATTTGAAGATGAAGAAAAATATTATACATCAGAAAAACTTAATACTAGGAAAGATTTAAAAAACATGGAACACAATATGGAAAATCATATCAAAAGTAATTTGGATTATCAAGACAAACAGGATTATTTTGATGCTTGTAATAGTTTTACAGAAAAATTAGAATTTATTGACGACATAAATACTTTAGATAATGAATGCAGACCTAGTTTGAACTTGGATTCTGCATATTTAGAATACAATGATAAACAAATAAAGGATACTAAATCTATCTGTGATAAATATGATCCTACTGTTGAAAAGTCTATATACTCCAATTCAACAATGGAATACCATGATATTGAGTCTTATTCTCAAAATATGGATTCTCCAGATGGTTCATATTCTTCAAAACAATTCCTAGATCATAAAACTAAAGTATCTGAAAAGGAAAAAAGTTTTGAAAAGGGTGTGGTTAATAAAGCTATGATGGTAGCCAGGAGTATTGGACTGCATGGAAGCTTAAGCAAATCTTCCAGTAGTCCTAGAAGTAATAGAAAACGGAGCATATTATTTGCAAGTAAATACTTATATGTATATTATATACACATACGCGCACATATACAATACATATTAATGCACATTAATTTTTAAAGGGTTATATTTATTAAGTTTTATGTTATTCTTGAATTAGGAAAAAGAAATATCTCTGTTAAAGATATAGGCACAGGTGATTTAGAAGGATGGTTAACATATCGCACAAGAGGTGCAGGTGGTGCTTGGGCTAAAGCTTGGTTTATTTTAAAATGTTCTTCTCTATATAGGTGTGTTAACTAAATTTTTATATATATATATATTTCGCATACAAATATTTATATGATTTTTAAACCTAGGTTTAAAGCTCAAAACAGTATAAAAGCAGACTGTCTCATAGCTTTAACAGGATTTACTGTGTCACGAGCTGCTGAAGTAAAATCGAGAAAGTTTGCATTCAAGGTTTATCATACAGGAACAGTATTTTATTTTGCTGCAGATACTGAAGATTCTTTTGCCTTATGGGTAGATGCAATTAATAAAGCAACTTTAGGTGCTGATGGTCACAGTAGAAATAGTGCTCTTTTCAGCGAAACTGATGAGAGCGATGGCGAACAAAAAAGTAAAACTAAAAGTGTTCATACTTCGGAATATAAACCGAATTTCGAAAAATCGTTTGGATCGTTAAAAAAAGTTGTCCGTAAGGATTCTTCCACGTATAAAGAACATGAAATCAGTGGTGCTAGTTTAGATAGAAAATATTTGAAATTTCTTGGTACAAGGAATCATAATGTACCTGTTCCAACTGCACAATTTAGAAGTTACAGAAGAGTTCTTCCTACGTCTACACCTAATAAGTAAAATTATTTAATATAGAATATCTCATTTAAAATTAAGGTAAAATATGAATTTTCTTTTAGGAAACAAGATTCTGTTCCAAATTCACCAGACTTACAAATGACAATTGCAGGAAGTACATTTTATGGACTATGTGCATCTCATAGTACTACTGATATGTCAAGTAGTACTCAAGATATGGGTGATTACAGACGTACTACAGACAGGTAATAGTTTATATTGCATGCTGTAAAATTAATACTAATTTTGTTGTATTTAAGCGTGATATATAATTTTAAAAAAGTTCTTTAAAACTTAAATTATTATCGTTCTATCTTTTTTATAATATATATAGAAATAAATTTTTAACCGAATAATGATAACAGTTGAAAATATTGTTATACTTTTCATTTTATAATAAAATAATTAATTAAAATATTGATTGAATTTATTTTATATGTATATATTTTGTGCATGTTTTACCTTATTTAGAATTATTTTCCTATACATTATCCTTATTTGATTTAGAGCACGTTTTATATTTTATATATATATATTTTTTATTATATTAAATGTAGTAATTTAGTGAAGCAGTACTTAATATTTAGGTGTCTCAATAACAGAAATAGAAGACCAGAAGATCTGCAAGGTTTTATTACATTAGAAGAATTTATGTTATTACAACAAGAAGATCAAAGACAAATGACGAGGACTAGACCTGTATCACCACGAATGACACCTTTAACTAGTGATCACGTTCATATTCAACATAAAAACTTCTACGATAATGAGACAATTAGTGAACAATCCAGACTTATTGATGGAGGTTTCAATGATATTTACACTCGAAATAAAAATAATGATGAAATGGTTAATAATACTGTTTTGTGTGGTTACTCACGAAATTCGGACAATATTCATACAATGCGACAATTTAGTGGAGATTTTGATTTAGAAAAAAATGAGTATAAAGGAGAACCATCAAAATATACAATTCCGAAAAAATCGAACGAATTTTGTTATATTAATAAGAAAAAGTCATTAGATGGATTAAATTGTCAACAAATGAAACCAAGCAATTCATTTCAATGTAAAACTGTCACAAATGAACAAAAACAATTGACCCCCTTATGTCACAGTAAAACAGATAGTGGTGATAGATCAGGGAGACAAGTAAACTTAACTTGTGAATATAATACTAATGTTTATACTAATCAAGTACAATCTTCAAGTAATCATAACATTTCTAGATCGTATGATTATTGTTTACCTAAAAATATCAATAACTTATCAGAGGATAAATCGATAACAAGACCGCTTACTCGAAATGATGGTAATTTTCATTGTTTATGTAATAATTTTACGTAATATAAAACAACATTGATATTATTCTTTTTTAGGTCCTTCTGGCTCTAGTAATGATCTTACATTTCATGTTTATGAAACTTTACAACGTGCAAAAAAAGATGTATCCATTAGTCGTAAAGGAAGTTTCAATTTAACAAGTCGCCGTGATCATGTTTTTTCAGATAAGCATTGGTTAGACTCCTTGCGACGGATTGATAAAAAGGACGTCAATTATGACAAAACCCGTTTGAAAAACGTAGCGCAATACCAACCTCCACCTATACCAAGTTCTCCATTTGAACAAGAAGGAATGACTGCTGCATTTGAGATGCATTTAGATAAGGGTGAACAAGTTCAGAAAACAAATCGTCTGAAAAATTTATTTAGTAATAAATGTCAACAGAAACCTTCTACACTTGATTTGCCTAAGGAAACACAAAAGACTTTATTAGGTAAATAAATAACATATTTTACATATATTACTTGATATGTTATTATATCATAATATGTTTCAATTATATTATTTAATTTTTTATTGTATGTCTTTTAGAGACATTTATAATAATCGTTTAGAACCTTATATATAATTTATAGGGTCACCAAGATTACATCGAGCAATATTCAGGGAGAAATGTTACAATCAATCACGATTACCAAGTCGATCCAACAGTCAGAGTCCTGGCGATAGTGGAATCAGCCAATCTATTAGTTCTTTCAGTGGAAATAGTCCTCAAACTCTTAGTCAGAGTTTTAGTTCGGCCAGTTCTATCAGTGATTGGAGTCCAGACACTCCATCACCATGTACTTCAAATTTAATGTTAAAAGTATGTATTTCAATAAGTAATAATTATAAGCATGTAAAATATAATGATAAAATAACAACAAATATTTACTTTTAGGGTAATTCAAGTCAATCTTCCTGTCAGAAAGGATATACAAGCATAGGTAGAAATTCATTAACAGCGTCGACGATACCTTACATACCACCACCTACATCACCATCACCTGATTATCCTGGTCTTGAATATCCACCAGTATTTGAACCTGGTACTTACTCTCTCTTGGATGCTTCATTATTACGTAATCGTAATAAAAGTAATCGAGACACTCATTAACCAATGACACAACTTAGATCATTAATCTACACACAATAATAACCAAAGATAATGTGTTTTCTCAATCATTTTTCTAATCAGATATTTTATATAAGGAATTCAAAAGTATAATAATATTTTTCCACAAAGTATTAAAATTTAACCGTCCATTTTATGATAATGTAAAGATTATTAAATCATTTTTTTATATGAATTGATATTGTAGATTAACCACTCAATAATATGAACAAGTTGAGTGGATGACTGAAATTTAACATGATATATCATTGCCTTAATAAATAATACGAATACTATTTAAATTGAATTATAGAAAAAATTCCAGAACTTTGTTATTAGCATTATTTGTAATTATTGTTAACATATATCGATAAATTGAAACATATTATACCTTTCAAAATATTTTAATTGTAGTAAATGTTTATTATATATGAATTATGAAATTCTATAGTAATTAACAAGGAAGTAAATTTACACATAGAATATTACTAAATAAATTTGTTATATAAAAGACTATAATAAGACTATAATAATACATTAACTGATAAGAAATATTAATGAAAAATTGAATGAGTAACATTTGTTGTTTATAATAGTAAACTAAGAGGTCAATTTTTAAGTTCGCAATGCGCACGCTCATATACACAAGCGCGTGCGCGGGCACGTTTTTTCACTACAAATAGTTTTCAGTACATTAAATAAAAGTGTTCTTAAAATACAATTAAAGTACACAAATAATATGAATTGCATTTCAAGAAAATATAGCAAAATTGCGTTACACTTTTTTAAACATATTTTACAAACAGTTTTATATATATTTTAATCGTCATATATATTCATATATTTAAATATAATGTGATGATGTGTAAAGTGCCTATATATCTTTTTTATATAATTTTTGTATATAATAAAAATAATATTTTAGCTATTAATGTAGTTCGAAATGCATGATTTTATTATACTTTATGCTCAAGAAATTTTTCAAAAGTATTATAAAATTAAAAGTTAGTGCATTAAAATGTATAAAAAAAAATGTTTAACTATATATATCTCTGGCTATGAATATCATCAAATATTTATGTTCACTAAAACAAATATTTGCAACATGCTGATGGTATGATAATACTGAATAAAATAAATTGTTCGATATCATTTTTTATCATAATTTTTTAACATAATTTTAATAATATAATGTAAAATTTACCTTTGCGTTAATTACAATATTTGCTTATTTTGTTTTCCTAATTTCACATATTCGATTATCTTGTAACTCGTAACTCCTAACATTCGATTAAGAATCGACTTGTCGATAAAAAGAAAGTATCGATAAACTATCGAAAAACTTTTTGAGTTTATATTGGCACTAGTAAATTCTAGAATTATTTTGTAAACTACTCTGTGTGATTTGTTTGTTCTCCTAAGGCAGTAAATACTTTTAATATTTTAAAAAGTTTATGGTAAGACGGTTAGTAGCAAGTAATTTATAACTTTTAGTGATTTCGAATAACAGTCGAATTTTTGCTATTTAGACATTTGTATACATAATAAAAATATATGATAAAAAAAAAATTGATAAATGATTATAAAATTATATGATTATATAGTTATAAAAAATAAAATATATCATTGAATTATTAACCTTTAAGGTATTTCAGTATATGTATGTGGTTATATATGCACATGGCTTGTAATAAAAGAAGGAAGTTAACACAAAATATGTCAGACCCAATTGATTATATTGACTTAACGGTAGATTCACCAAAAGATATGTCTTTAAAATTACGAAACCGAAATATTGAAAATATATCGAATAATAATACTACAACAAAATCACGAAAACGTAACACTAAACGACAATTACCACAGCTTCAAGATTCTGTCTTGTATGTATTGTAGAATTATTGTTTTGAAACTATTCTATCAATTTTGAACAATTTATTTAAAACTTTTTAATTTTTTAGAGAAATACCAGTTGAAAATACATGCAATGATGCACAAGCAATGGAAATCATAGATCTAGACAATAATAGTACACCACAACAGACTGGAATATGCTATGTTAATGACTCTGGGCAAAGAAACTTAGTTGTTTTAACCTGTCCAATATGTTATGAACAATTATCTTCTAAAATGAAACCTATGTCTACTCCTTGTGGACATATATTTTGTACACAATGTTTAAAATTAGCTCTACATAAAACAAAAAGATGTCCGACTTGTCAAAAAAATATCAAATTGCCATCTTGTAACCGTTTATACTTTTAACAATATTGTTTTTATTTTACATAATTATTTATATTTAACTTTTTATACATGTATATCATTATCATAAATATATAGTTTGATCTAAGTTCATGTAAAAGTACCAAAATGAAAAAATACATTAGAAATATAATGTTCAATAATTATTATTGTAGTTATATAAATTTCTATAATTCTATAATATACTATAACATTTTTTTATGTAATGGTATTTTATTATGTATTATGATAATTTAGTTATTATTATTGTTTTTAATTTGTGAGAGAAAACAAAATATTATATTAAGTCTATATTTTATTCATTTCATCTATCTTTTGTTTGTTTTAATCTACCTTGTTATAAAGTATATTCAATGTTTACATTTTGTTGCCACCTTGAAATGTCTTTAGTGCACTCTTAACATAACACAGAGTATCATCTCTTTTCTGTATTAAAATCAATCAAATTTATTAATACAATTTTTAATAACTTGGTGTATTCTTGCTAAAACTTAGAAATGTTTAAGAAAGAAAAATTACAGAAAGAAAATCGTATGTCATATTTCTTTGGTGGAACTGTCATTGGAATGGCAGGTAAATATTATTTCAATTGATTTATTTATTCATTATATTAAATTTTTGTTATATATATGTTATTTAATTTATAGCTGGTCTGTTGGCTGGAAAATTATTTTCAAATACATTGAGTGAAAAAACAAAAATTTCTGGTAAGTTCTTAATATTTTGTATTATATAAGAAAATTTATAATACTTTTTAAAACATTATTTTTAATACTTTTCAATTCTTTTTATACAGAACATGCAATTCTTGTTAAGAAAAATATGAATAAATATTCTCAGGATGACAACATACATAATGCATTTTGCCATAAGAATATGTATCAATATCATATTCGTTCTAAAAGTGTTTCCAGATACAAAGATAAGAAATGTATGAAGCAACCATTCCCTGCAATTTCTTTAAACAAATTTAATGATGGGTTAGAAGATAATATTGATAACCTTAACTTAAACATGTGTGACAAAAATGAACATAAAATTCTTTATAACAACAAAAATTGTGCATTGTTTAATATAAACATAGAAAATAATACAAAAGATAATATATGTACTAACATTTTCTCAGAAAATTCTAAAGACAAGAAAAAAGATAAATATTTTGAACATGAAAATATCAAACAAGAATTATCATGTATTATTCAACCCGAAGATAATGCAAATATTAAAGAAAAAAATTTATTAGATATAATAAATAGTGAAAATGCAAATAATTTTAATGAAAAAATTTATAAAAATATAGAGTTAACAGATACATTTAACGCATTATCTATTAATTTTTGTGGAGATAATACTACTTATAAAAATTTTGAAAATGTAAAAAGTTTTGGGATTAATTCAAATATTTTGTCAAGTTATGTAGACAATGCAAGTAATCTGGCTACATGTAATGATGTTATATATTGTAACGATGAAGAAGAAAATAACATTTTGAATTTTACTTTTAATGAAGAATTTTATGAAACTGACATAATTTCATCTACAAAACAGAATAATTTAGAAGATATATAATAACTTAAATGCAATAATTACTATAAAATTAAGATAATAAATTAGTGAAAATATTAATATTTAGTTTAAATTATTTTATCCAATATATATATGTATACAAATATATTTACAAAAAAGGCATGTACATTGTATAATAAAAAGTTAAATAAACTGTTTAATGCGATTATAATATGTATATTTTATATTTTTCACTTTTATGTTTTGTACGTATGCTAAATTTAAATTGAAGTCATTCATTGGTGTAATAATATTCAATGCCATTTCTAAACAATGGATTGGTTGAACTTATGCACACGCCACGCCTACAATCTACGTTATGGCGGCGCATCAAAGAAATAAGATACACAGTCTGTTGTGGAAAAAGGACTATGCTTTGTAATGAAGTCCATATTTGTATTACTTTTAAAAATTAATGCGGTTTATTGCGTATGTTTAAAACGTGATAAATTATAGGCAATTTTGAAATAATTTAAACATTAAACTGTATAAGTTAATTAATTTACTGCAGTGAATATGAATTTCGTATAGTGTGTCATTGACTCGAGACGAAGTGTCAAAATTGTTCTGACTTGGTTTCGCACATTGTAAAATTTCATTAAGATAGTTACAAATTTCATTTATTAAGTATCACTTGATCGTTTAAGATCAAAGTCTTCGAACACTATATTGTGTGAGCCAATAATATCGTTAATAAATAAGAACTTTACTGCTAGTGTGATTTCCACAAAAATGAAAAGATGTATGTGACGCCAATGCTTTGTTTTCTTTTTGTCAAATACTTTCCGTGTTGAGTTTATGTAGTGATTTTGATAAAATATGTGCAATGTAACACTTTTTGTTATTGTCACTAATTTTTGTATATAACAATGCTTTTTATCATTGTTTGAATATTATAAATTCGAATAAGAAACAAATCGAAATTTATCGTTTAACTTATTTAAATCATTTGATTTTTCTTTGTATATTTGTTAATCATTTTTAGCAATAAATAAACTTAACATTTTATATAACTAAAGTTTATTATTATGAATATGAATAATATTAATAAATACTTATGGTATTTGTCTTCATTACATTCATCATTTGATAATTTTTACATAAATTATATCAAAAAATCAAATATAGTACATAATTATGTTGTTTTCTAGATATAAATTAATCATTAATGTAGAAGTCTTAAGTAAATATCTTTATGTAAATAAGAGTTACAAATATTTCAATTTTATGTATTATTTTTTTAAGTATACTATGATTTCAGGTTTTTAAGTGCATATTGAAATTAAATATTAAACATCATGGCACAAAGAATCTTTTTATATAATTAACTATTAATTTACGCTTAAATATGATACCAATGGAAAATAATTATCGAACACTCGTTAAGATGTGTTTGTTTAATGTTGTTTATCACTGATTACATCTTTGCTGAGGTCAGAGAGTGATGCCGGTTCATCAGATCAATGTTAATCCGCCTGACCGGCAACCACCTCTGTCGCTTGGTCCTTCTAATAACAATAGCCCTGCTAATGGTGAAGGCTTACCAGAATGGACACCAAGGGTAATTTATTTCATATTTTTTTCCTTTTTTTTTTTTTTTTAAATCAATCATCAAATAAGTTTTATTAATTTTATAATTAAATTGTAATAAAGAAATGTATAAAATATAAACAAAATTAGTGTTTGTTCGATTAAATTAAATCTTAAATTAATTATTTTTAGGAATCAACATATGCAACAGTAGTTACAATTATACCAGATCATTGTCACTCATCAGTAAGCACATTGTCCTCAAGCAATCATGATATTTGCAGGTAAATACTCATTTTAAATTATCTCTAAACAACTTATATCTTTATAATACATTGTAGTATAGAATTTTAAAAATAATTGCTTATAAACAATATTTAATGTACAATAATGCAAAAGATACTACATCGTTTCTTATCACAGAATATGTCATTGTGAAGGCGAAGAAGGTGCTCCCCTTTTTGCACCTTGTTATTGCAGCGGCAGTTTACGCTATGTACATCAGGCTTGCCTTCAACAATGGATAAAAGCTTCAGACACACGTGCTTGTGAATTATGTAAATTCACATTTATTATGCATGCTAAAACAAAACCATTTTGTGAGGTATTATTTTGTTACATTCATACATCTTCATTGTGTATTTTGTTATAAATAAAATTTGCCATTTTTTTAATTTGATAGATTCAAAAGTAATATATTTAAAATTAATTAATCACTTTTAGTGGGAAAAACTTGAAATGTCTGCCCTAGAAGTTCGTAAATTATGGTGGGCAGTCGTTTCTCATGCAATAGCTGGACTCTGTGTAGCTTGGTCTATATATGTACTTGTCGAACGATCTATGGAAGAAGCTCGACGTGGATATGTAGACTGGTCTTTCTGGATTAAATTAATAGTTGTTGTAATTGGTTCTACAGGAAGTTTAGTTTTTATGTACATTCAATCCAAAATATACATTACACTATGCAGAAAATGGCTTACATTTAACAGGTATGTAAGATAAATAATAATGTCTGTTATTTAATTATAAATTTTTAAAATATCTATATTTTTTAGAGTAATATTTATTCAAAATGCTCCTGAGAAAGTGGTGCTTCCTCCTTCACCCACAGACTCTTTAAGAGAAGTAACATTGCCTCTAAAAGACCCAACTGTCTCTATGCCTGAGCTCAATCATACTTTATTACCCCGTAACATAGATCCTCCATGTGCCTCGCAGATGGTAAAACCGGATTCTAACGCGCCTCCACAAAGGCATGACGCTCAATTGAAACTTTATGTATTTGATAAATTGTCCTCGTCTGAAGACAATTTATAATACAATTGGGGTAATACAGATGACTGCTAATTATATATTAATGATTAGCCAAAAAAAATATAATACAAACGTAAACATATGTCTAGAATAAAATTGTAATTCTAGACTGCAGTATGATTTCGAAAACCGGAGTTTCTATTTCGAAACTGTCAAATGTCCGCCCTTAAGGAGCACCTTTATCTGAAACCTAGTACTTCAGTGCTTACATTGATGATGGGATAGTTGAAAGTGTTTAACCAGTAGGCTAAACATTTTCTTCAACAATTGTGTACATAATTATTGTATCTGTGATGTTATTAAATAAAATTTACCATATTTAAACAGTACTCTTAATTTTTGTAATAAAAATCTGTGACTATTTAGTAATACTTCATTTGTGATATTAAGGTAGATATCAATATAGTACTCCTAAAGATATAAATTAAAATTTTATTCCGAACTAAACTTATTTAAATTATTGCAGAAATCAATATCATTAAAACAACAATTATTAAATTTTTAACCTTTTATCCGATAAATGATTATCTACTAATTCTAAATATTTGATAAATTGTATGTTTAATATATATAATATTTGGTTATAAAAAAGATATAAATCGGTTGGTTACTCGTTTTATATTTTAAAAATGTGTTAATGTTTAATACAGGTACGTATATCCGGCCATTTTTAATGTAAAAACGAAATTGTTCATAAATCACAAACAATGAACGTCGTAATTATATATAGCAAAAATATATACATAAAATTGTAGCACAACGTTTCTCATTGCTATCTTTTAAGATGTTTTAATAGTTAAAATATAGGTTTAGAATTTATAGAATATTATTTTGTAGCTGGCGCCACTAGTCTTCCGGAACGTAGTTGCAAACGTTACACGAACGCACCAATTGTAGTAGAGGAGAGCGTCAGTTTGTTAAAACTGTGACTGAAGGTAAGATGAATATTTGTAATCCGCATTTAATTATTTAATAATGATTCATCCATTAGTAAAATGTATTCAATTCTATTAAGAATGTTTTTAAATTTTAATAATATATAATATTTTTATTGTCAATTGTGTTGTATTGTGAAAATTTAATGATGCACAAGTGTTTATCTCGTAATCGTATGTTAGGAACGTGAACAAATTTGTAAGCTAAATTATATAATTTTTAATTGTACATATATATACATATGTTTGATCTATATTTCTCAGATAAATTATTGATAAAAAAAATTAAATTATAGCCATTCTATTTACATTTCATTTTACATTTTCATTTTTTCTATTAGAAAATGCACAAGCGTCACTAAAATGGCGGTCGCATTAGATGCATAGTTTCTACGAAAATTATTATTTTTGCAAGCAAGGATGTTTTAAATGATTTATTTGCTTGTTTAAAAATTTAAATACTCATTTAATAAAAAAAAGTATCATAGTATTTTTTTTTATATATGTATTTATATTCTACCATTTTTAAAAATAAGTTTTATGATATATTGAATACATCCAAATTTTAAATTGAAGTTTTTTTTTATAAAATAAGTAAGGAAAAGGTAAAAAATTAATAAGACTTTATTAGTCACAATAAAGGATAATATATATTTACATTATTCTCAAGTAATAAAACAATATTTCAACAATTTGTATTAAGAGTTATAAATATAACTTTTGTAAATTTCAATTATGTGTACAATATTATTTTTTAAATTTCAGCAATAACTTAGTAGTTATATAAATAAAAATGGCGGACAATGATGATCTCTTGGATTATGAAGATGAAGAACAAACTGAACAATTAGTTGATGGAAGTAGGCACACACCTGCAAAAAAAGAAGTGAAGGGCACATATGTATCTATCCATAGTAGTGGATTTAGAGATTTTCTTCTTAAACCTGAAATATTACGTGCAATTATTGATTGTGGTTTTGAGCACCCATCTGAAGGTAATAATGATTTATTTATTCATATTACTGAATTATATATTATATTATTATTGTACATTCATATTTTAGTGATGATACATGATAGGGACAACAGATTATATATGAATGATATATTCATATAAACTGATTAATTATTACTTAGAAGACTTTGTATCTTTTGTTTTAAATAAATAGTAACTTTTGTGAATATTATTTACAGTACAGCATGAATGCATTCCTCAAGCAGTACTTGGTATGGATATATTATGTCAAGCAAAATCTGGTATGGGAAAAACAGCTGTGTTTGTATTAGCAACATTGCAACAGTTAGAATTAACTGAAAATCAAGTTTATGTTCTTGTCATGTGCCACACACGAGAGCTTGCTTTTCAAATCAGCAAGGAATATGAAAGATTCAGCAAATATATGCCTCATGTAAAGGTAAGTCTGTTACAAGTATAACTCACGTTCCTTTGACTATAATTTGTAAAGAATCTTCACATGATGAAATAATCATCATACTAAATAATGATGACATCTTAAAATACCACTACCTACCACTGATGAAGACTTTTATATTTAAAATAACTCAATTTTGTCTGGTGTTTAATAATTATCATACTAAATAATATATTTACACTAATAGGTTGGAGTATTCTTTGGTGGTTTACCAATTCAGAAAGATGAAGAAGTTTTGAAGAATACATGCCCTCATATTGTTGTGGGTACACCAGGTCGCATCTTAGCTCTTGTTCGAAATAAAAAGTTAAATTTAAAACATTTGAAGCACTTTATACTCGATGAGTGTGATAAAATGCTCGAACTATTAGGTATTTACAAATACGTTATGTACATATAAATATATTATTTATTTGGATGTAAATTATATATCTATATTATTTATTTTTAGATATGCGCAGGGACGTACAGGAAATATTTAGAAGCACTCCACACGGCAAGCAAGTCATGATGTTCAGCGCTACATTGTCCAAGGAGATACGCCCTGTCTGCAAAAAATTCATGCAAGATGTAATTAACAAATCTTCCTCCTCTTCACTTCGATCTTCGATTGCTCCTACTTCGTTGGCCCTGTATTCATACCCAGGACAAAGCTCAGACCATACTATAAATATCGTTGACGGCGCACCCGCGGGTTAGGCTAGTTAGACAACATTTTGAAGGAGTGACACAGAATTCAATAATGAAAAGCCTCTCGATGTCTCCGATTGAAAGTCAAGTTCTACAACTTAAATGTAACGAGTTGCTGCTCCAAAGTTTCCCTCCATTTATCGGATGACAATGTCTACTTATAAAAAGAACGATAACTTCGTTCAAAATTATTTCTTGAGTTAATCAAGATGACGTTGGTGATGCTTTAAAAAAAATTTTATTTAGTTCCAATCTTCTTCTAAATTGTCTGCTGCATATTGAAATTATCAAAGTTAAAATGATCGGTATAACGTTGCACAAATGTTGGGAAGCGTCGTATCTGTCAGGATGGGTTGGGTGGAAAAAGTTTCTACAATTTCTATGGGCAAATGATTGTCAGGTGCAAGGGAAGGGTAGATTTTTAAATGATTTAGAGCAGCATTGAAAGCAGATTATGATTGGGTGGGGGGCTAAGAAGATCTCAAGACAACCTGAAGACAGAAGAGCGCAAGAAAGAAGATGCAAGAGGATACATGGGAAATTGGGGGTAGCTAGGATGACTAGATATACAATTACGTGGCATATATCTAGAATTTGTTCGCGTTCGTCTTACCTATAATTAAACCAACGTATTTTAAAATTTTGCAAAAAAGAAAAAAACAGCTAATGGAGGTCAGTAATCAATTAATAGGAGTGAAAATGGAAGTGTTAATACATAGTTTGGTCGTGACCACCTCTACTGAAAACAATATATAAATCAATTTGTGTATCACAAATCATAAGCTATTTAAGTCGCGATGTTTAAGTCTCGGAGGCCGTTAAGTTTTGTGATATATGAGCATACCAACAATAATCGAGACCAATTCTGGGCATATTCTGAATGTATCAGAATTTGGGAGAAGATATTTGGCATCGAGTGGCCAGCGGATGTGTGACAGAACATTCATGGGTGCGCCTTCTTAGTTCTGTTGGGGTGACTGCTGAGTTTTCGTTGTTGGCACTACCCAGAGATGGAAGTCGCCGGACCGTATGTAACCAGTATGACTAATCCGATCGACAAATAAGTGCAAAAAATGAGAGCTCAAGCGGAAAGTTCTCAAAATCATCTAATATATTTTATTTATAGTCACTTAATAAGAAATTACCATTATCAAGGAAGCGGGAGAAATTGGAACATTTATACAAAAAATATGCAACATTTCCACATCATTTGCTTCATTTTTTTTAAATTTTCGTTTGTAGTTATTCATTCCACGTTTCAAATTTGTTTCCAATGATTTTTATGTTTATTTAATAATCAAATTCATTCATAAATTTCGTCACATTTATAACTTCAATAACTATTGAAGTTTTATTTAATATTTTACATGTATAAAAATGTTATATTGAATCTAGAAATTATCAAGGTATGGTTATTTTTAGAGTAAAATAGATAATCTTGTAAAAAACATTCTTTGCGCAGCCCATGGAAGTCTATGTGGATGATGAAGCGAAGCTCACGTTGCATGGTCTACAACAACATTATGTGAAACTAAAAGAAAATGAAAAGAACAAGAAGCTATTTGAATTACTTGACGTACTTGAATTTAATCAGGTTTGTCTGCAGAGATCGATTAAACTATATAGTTATTACATAATTTAAGATTTTTACTACATATCAAGTTACTGTAATCTTCACTGTTTTTATTCTAAATTATTCTATAGGTAGTTATCTTTGTAAAATCTGTACAAAGGTGCATGGCTTTGGCACAGCTTCTAACAGAACAGAATTTTCCTGCGATTGGTATACACAGGGGTATGACACAAGAAGAACGGTTATCAAGGTATCAACAATTTAAAGATTTCCAAAAAGTAAGTATGAAATTATAAATCTATTTAATGTTTAATATTTGAATAATTTAGATAGTGATATTTTATTTGTATCTAAATGAATACAAACAAATACTTATTATTTTAGCGAATACTTGTAGCTACAAATTTATTTGGTCGTGGTATGGATATTGAGCGAGTAAACATAGTGTTCAATTACGACATGCCAGAAGATTCAGATACATACCTACATCGAGTAGCTAGAGCTGGTCGTTTCGGTACTAAGGTTAATATTTTTATGATATCTTGTAATTGATATAATAATTGTAATATTTGTTTTAATATTTTGTTAATATTTATAGGGTCTTGCTATTACATTAGTCAGTGATGAAAGTGATGCTAAGATATTGAACGATGTCCAAGAACGATTTGATGTTAATATTACGGAGTTACCAGATGAAATAGATTTAGCTTCATACAGTAAGATGTATATTATATTATAATATCATATTTAAAAATCATTAAAACTAATCCATTTTTTGTTACAGTTGAAGGACGATAAATGTAATTCCATTCCCAAAACTTGAATATTCAATAAAGTGAGTATAACTAGATACCCAATTATATTATTATATTATTATAGATAATTTTTATTACAGGCACGTGAGAACTTACGCTCTATAATATACACTTATCATTGTGTATTCATGTTAAGCATAAGACATATTTTGTATCAATTTACAATCTTTTTTTTCATTGATCTGACAAACCTTATGAACAAGTGACGTAATCAAATTAATTATAGCTAAACTATTATTCTTTTAAAAACTATAATAAATAATTCATGTTATCATTGTACAATACTATTTAAATTTTATTCCACATTCAGCAAGATAAGAATTATGTGTATAAATAGATATAAGAGAATGCATTTTATGTGCCCTCTATTATATGTAAATTAAATAAATATTTTTCTTTCTATAAATAACTAATGTTATCCTGATTTAATTATTAATTAAATACAATCGAGCAATAAAGAATAAAATTATATTTTGTTAGATTTCTATTACAAAAATTGTGTATTCATTTGGTTTATTGATTTATACATCTATTTTAAGTGAAATTATGTATGAAATATATATATATAAAATTAATGTTTTAAAAGAAAGAAAATTGTTAATTTACTACATAAACTAAAATGATAATTTTATTTAGTCCTTGCTTTATTTTGCGGTTTATTTCCATCTTGATTACCACCACCACGACCAAGAGCTGTAGGACCTCTGCCACCACGGCCAAAAGTTCCTGTTAAAAAAATAGTCTTTTTATATTAGAATAATAGAAAACCAAATATATATTGATTATACCTCTTCCACTACCACGACCTCGTTGATTTTGTCCTCTTCCTTTCATTTCTCCACGACCTCTTGATTTCATTTGTACATCTTCTTTTACCATATCTATAACTTCGTCAGGAATTCGTAAATATTTAATTGTAGTACCCCGAATATAACATTCTGGCATTCTCCAAAACTTATCACCATCCTAAATGAAATGTTATATTATAACATACAATTTTATATAAATAATTTATGGGATATTGTTTTAATTTAAACAAAATTTATCATTACTGTACCCTAGATGTACATATAACCTCTCTGAGATTGATATTCATCCAGCTATCACAACTAACTAAATGTCCATTATACGTTTCTCCATTCTTAAGTTCAACTAACTGTAATATATAATATTAAATTAATTAATTCAATGTTAATATCGCCTAATTAATTTAAATGTAAAATATTTTTGTACAAAAATATTTATTTAAAGCTTACCATAGGATGATTTTGAGCTGTTCTTAATAACGATAAAGGTAACTGAAAAATAATTGTATAAAATGAGAAAAAATAATAAAATCATAATTCTAAGTTTTAATATAAATTATTTTTAAATATACCATTTTTTTATCGCTTTGATGTATTCAAATACTGTACTATTGACATCAGAATAAACAGTTCGAATGTTCATTTATATCATAAACAGGATGACCAACTAAAATTTAGTTATTTGTTAACTATATTTTAATTATATTTGTTTTTATATTTATCTATATTAGAATTGAACAATATAAGAATATTGATAAGAGGTTGAGATAATATTCAATGTTATTTATTTATAAGAATATATTTAATATTATTTAAGGGTAAAATTTTGTGTATAGTTATATTTTTTGGCAAAAATAAGTTTTCATATATAAAGTATATTTGCAAGTACCTTTGAATACAGATTTTTATTAAAAGAATGATATTTAATAATAGTAATATGTTAAAAACATTATCTTTTAAATTGTTATCTATAAATGGTTTATGTCAACAAAAAGTAAGTGAAAGTATTTATCAATTATTAATGATATTTTGAATTAAATGACAGTAAAAATTAATTTTTTTAGCTTTTAACAAAATATCCTTTAACAATAGTAGCGTTTACACACAACTTAATTGGTAAAAAACAAATGTTAATGAAAGAAGATGTGAAGCCTGTCAATAAATTTGTTTTAAGGACTCATACTTGTGATGAATTAAGGATTCAAAATGTAGGAGAAACTGTGGAACTGTATGGTTGGTTGGAATTTTCAAGAGTTAACAAATTTTTAATATTAAGAGATTCTTATGGTTCTACTCAACTTATCATACCACAAGAGGTGACTAAGCTAATTAAAATATGTATGTATATATATACAAATATGTATAAAATACAAAGTTTACTTGTTCTAGAGGAAAGACTTACAAAACGTAGCCAAAAATTTGACCTTTGAAAGTGTATTTAGTATAGAAGGTAAAGTATTAAAAAGACCAGAGGGACAACAGAATAAAAATATGAAAACTGGAGATATTGAAGTAGAAATAAAATCTATAGAAGTTTTAAACATGGCAAAAGCGAAGATGCCATTTATTATCAGAAACTATAATCAAGCAAATGAAAACACTCAGATGAAATATAGATATATATCATTAAGATATCCTGAGTTACAGAAAAATTTGAGATTACGTTCAAAAATGATAATGAAAATGAGAGAATATTTAATCAAAGAATGTGACTTTGTAGACATTGAAACTCCAACTTTATTTAAACGTACTCCTGAGGTATGTATGTGAATATATTTATATATATATATAATAAATAATATATATAATAAGTTTGTAAATATATTTTTCAAATATAGGGTGCTCAAGAATTTATAGTTCCAACACAACTTCCAGGACAATTTTATTCATTAACACAAAGTCCTCAAATATTCAAACAATTACTAATGATAGGTGGTTTTGATAGATACTTTCAAATTGCCAGATGTTACAGAAATGAAACACCTAAACATGATAGACAACCTGAATTTACACAGGTTTATTTTTTTATTATTAGATATATATTCTTAAAATAATTTAATATTTATAAATATATCATTTATAGCTGGATATTGAAATGTCATTTGTTGATTGTGAAAGAGTAATGGAATTAACTGAAAATTTACTAGCATATTCATGGCCTGAAGAATCAGAAGGATTAACTATTCCTTTTAAACGTATAAAATATGACGAAGCAATGAAATTATATGGTACAGATAAACCAGACTTACGTATACCACAAAGAGTAAGATCTATGCATATTTTTGGTTCAAATTTATAAAGACACATTCAAAAAAATATTAATATTTCAGCTTTATAGATTGACAAAAATAATTGATCATTCAGTATTAGAACAAAATTTAAAAATAGAACAGAATGAAAATCTTGAAGTTTATGCACTAGTTTTTTCCCAAAAACATGTATGTTTATGTTATATATATTCTTGCTATTTTCTGATTTTCTTATATTTATAACATGTTTTTTGTATTTTAGGATTTTTTTACAAAAACTGTTAAAGATAGTATGTCTAAGTTACAAAACCATTATTTTCCATCTGTAAAATTAATCCAAACAAAAATACCTAACAAATCACCAATAATAATGAACATTATTAAAGAAAATGTACAACAAGAGTTAAATTTGACAGAAGGAGATGTTCTATTCTTAGCCTTTGGATCATAATAAAAATTGTAGCAATTACTGTTGGGAAAAATACGTTTTGAATTTACAAATTTATTGGAAAGTAAAGATCAAAAAATTCGTACTACTGAGAATCAATTATTATGGATCACTGATTTTCCTTTATTTTCATTTAATACTAAATTAAACTCATTGGAAACCAGCCATCATCCATTTACACAACCTCATCCAGATGATATGCAATATCTCATAAAGAATCCATTGAAGGTATTTTTGTTTATTAATTAATAAATTTAATTATATGTTAATAAGTCGAATATTTATTTCCTCATCTATAGGTTAGAGGATTACATTATGATTTAGTTATGAATGGTCATGAGATTGGAGGTGGATCAATACGAATTCATGAAGAAAAAATGCAAAGAGAAATATTCAAAATATTAAATATAAATGAATTGCCTTTAATGCATATGCTTGATGCCTTAAAATCTGGTGCTCCACCTCATGGTGGAATTGCTATAGGTATCTTATTCCTAGTTCAAATATGAACAATATTTGATAATATAATAATACAGTAAACAAACATTAAATTATTTTCTAGGAATGGATCGTTTAATATGTTTACTGTGTAACGCAAATAATATAAAGAACGTAATAGCATTTCCAAAATCAATTTCGGGACGAGATTTAATGTCAGAATCACCAGGTCCAATATCTGAAGAAGAAAAACAGTTGTATCACATACGGACGATAGATGTATAATACGATAATTAAAAAAACTGTACATAAAAATTAATCCCAATTAATTATATTTCCTTTAAATTATTGGGATACACCAATATTTATAATGGAATATTTGGAAAATACTAAATATTTTTATTATTCTAATTAGTTATTACTTATGATGAAATCTATGATACTAATAACTTTGAAAAACGTTTATATTTGTATATTACTTATAGTATTTTAAAATATTAATTTTGTTATCCTATCAGCAAAAATAAAAGAATTTAATTTTAGCTATAATAAAATTCAATTTTAAAGTATCATTCATTTCATTTAAATTTATTTCAAGAATCTGTTTTATAATTTACAATACTTATGAATATTGTAATTATTATACTGCATAATGCACCCATTTATATTGCATTTTTGTATTGTTATAGATACTGCGAAAAGTAATAATATGAAAAAAATCAAAATAATTTTGAAACAAAGAAATATGATTGATATGTCATTTGGAAGTAATATTTCATTTTTACGATTCCTATGTTTAAACAAAAGGTATGATCTACAACTATGTATTATAAGTGATAAATTTATTGCATGAAAAAAAGAATTACACGTATATCATAATTAGCAATATTTGCACAGCTTTAATTATTAAAAACTCCATCGATTTACTGCACAGTTGTAATTATATTATATTAACACATGTATTATGTAAATTTAATGATCAAGATTTAACATTATCACATCGTATACGATTTTTCAAAGTAATATGAACATGATCAATCAATAATAAAAACATACATAAAATATTTATAAAAAAATGTAAAATCATATTTTTTTATATGAGGGTTAATTTCGTGTTGCTAAAAATGGTTATCAGACACGAGTATAGAAATAAAATGATAAGACCAAATTTTAATGTACAAAAAAATTGCTTTATTAGAATTCTTCTTTTTTAGTAAAATCTCACGTTCTGTTTAAAGTGATTTCAAAAAAAAATAAAAGATTGTTATCTGCGCAATGAATTATTAAATCGACATAGTGTTATCGAAGAATCTATTTCATGAATACGCTTATTAAAAAGATTTTGTTGAATTAAAATTTCCTAACAAACACGCTGATATGTTGTTATATTTAAACATCTGTGGAAGAAAATTTCATATTTGTTATTTGTTGTTTGGACTTTGCAAACTGGAACATAGACAAATGCAATTATAAAATATTTTGTATGTTTCTCCGGAAAATGGATTCTTATTACAATTTTTACAAAATATAATGTAAAAAGTCTTTTCTTTTTACGTTAAGAAATGCTTAGACACATAATATAATATACTAAATCGTATATCTTATTTACTTCACATCCACTATGCACAAGGCGTAATTAGAGCTACATAGTTTACAACGAAAAAATAAATCATGAGTATACACGTTTAAAATTCTATGATTCAGATGTTCAAGAATGTTTCGATGTCGTTTGTCATACAAACATTTACAACGATGAAAAAAAAGTGAACAAATGAAAGTTTTGCAATATTGTTTCCTAATAAAATATAAACATTAAAAGTATGAGTACTCTAAATCACCATTGGAAGAAGCTTCAGTCCTTCAACTGAAATTTGTGTTTTATAACAACATGTTTGTTTTCGTATATTCCTAGTTCTCTGAATATATAATGCATTATTACGTATAACAGGTGTTAATTAATCAGCTTACATTTTGCGCAGAATAATGCAAAATTCAATTAAAAATTAGTACTAAACATGACTACACTCTGTTTACAAAATACGTCGACAATTATTTCATACGAAAACTTAACGTAGGAACTTAGAAATTTTTCAAAAACTATAATATTTTAAGATAAATGTTTTTAAATACAGAATAATTAAACGTAGATGAATTATTTCTATGAACCATCACATGTAATATGTTTTGTTTACTTCTTTTTTTGTTTTAAGCGCATTTTAACAAACGCTTTTTTAATTGTTAAAATTTACTCAATTAACACAATGTACATCTAATCTTAATTTTAAATCCCTATGTTAAGTGGCCGCATAAATCGACAATTATAACAAGGGCGTAAATGAGATGTATAGTACAGAAACAGTATTTTTTATCCTTTCATTCAGGTAATTAAATATCATAACAATTAAACTAAATGAATGAATAATAAGAAATTCTTTTCTCACACATTATCTTCTTTTTTGAATTGTGTATGACCCATTATGGATAATAGAAATTAAATATACATTCAATAAATCAAAACTGTTATCTAGAAAAAAATATCATATTATTTTGTTTTATATATACAACGTAACGATGATTTTTAACAACTTTAAACAGAAAGAATTATTTACGCCCCTGACTGATATTTTAAACATGAAAACAGTTTCAAGTGTTATTATAACCACTCCAAAATCTGATCGATCAATAATCGATTTCCACTTCTCCATTCATGAGAGAATGTTTACTGTCGATCAGATAATATTCCATCGTTAACTTGTCAGAGTATGTACAAGTTGCGCTTTTTCCGTTTGGGAACACAGTGTTTCGCATGTTGCATGAGCTACAGAAATTCGTATCCGAGATATTCTTGGCTTGAACATTTAGTCAATTATAGTTGGCAGTATGAAAATGTTTAATCTATATACGTGGATCAATCATAGTACTTTCAAGACAATTTGAGTCCTTTAAGTCTATTTATTCTTCGGTGCTCAGTAAAGTCTCTAGTTCAATCTGTTCATTAAATTTGACGTATAATTTCCTTTTTTTAAACATAAATTTTTTTTTAATTGCACAAAACATTTTTAAATAACAGTCGTATTTACCCGGTTGTTTGATATAGACCGCAATCTTTGCGCACACTGTTTCGCCATTTAGAAAAATACTATTTTACAAGATGTGGCGAACTCTCGTGCATTGACGCACACGTTATGCACTCAAGAGCTTACCGAATTCGAAGAGATATACAAGCAAACACATTACATACGAAAGAACATTCATACACTCACGCATACACCATTGTAGAATCAATAGACAATACACAAATATGTAACACAATCATATATGTTACATACACACTCGCATTTTTCGTATAGAATAGTATAACCATCTACTCTTGCATAAGGTATGTTAAGGAAAACGTCTAGAAATTCTAGAGGACACTGTGAATATAATGGTATATACACGTATGATGAAGGCAGGGCTATTTAATTGAACAGACAGAATGTACACCAGCAGTGTCATAAATGTGATACGAGTTACACAATTTTGTGTAACATTTTTTCGCAGTTCTCAAGGTATTCGAGTTTTTCGCTCTAAGTAAACAAGGCAATTTGATAATCCATTAGACATAAATTTATATATATATACACACATATTAAAACAAAATGATCATTTAACTAATGCAATTATATCGTATAAAAAAGATGGATTGTCGAATTCTTTCATTTTTTTTTTTAAATAAACTGCTGCCTGTTCATTCCAATGCACCTGTTGACTTAGGGTAAGATGCCGTACCGCATTGATGTAAATATTAAAATTTAGTGAACTACTGTGTGAAATGATTAGACTTAACTGCACTTCCTACCATCATCAAATGTTTTCTCACCCGGCCCGCCGGTTCCACGCATGTAGATTAAAAACGATACCGTATCTAGAATAATACATACAATAACATAAGTGCCAACGTTGGCAGTATATTTTCTGAATTATTATACCTTTATCGCATGGAAGTCGTAGAAACACGAGATACCTTACTGCCGTCAACAAAGTGCCTATTTAAGACATTTCATATATTTATTGCGCATAATAAATAAGCTCGATATCTATCGTTCTTACGCGCAGCGACAGGTTGTATAATCATTGAATTTCAAGTGAACGTCCGTTCATAATGAAGTTACAAAAAATATTCCTGATTTCGGACGGCCACTGAGAAATTTAATTAATGAAACCAATTTATTGAGATATGTGTTAGTGCAATATGATCATAACAATTTCTCCATGCGCGATATCAGCGACTACAATTTTTGTTTTTATCAACCAATTATTATGCAATTAAATATGCACGTACGTACATATTTCCGAATATAAAATTTCACGTGTACATATAAAATTTGATTTATTTTCGAAGTATTGATGCAAAATTGCCATACTTTTTCTTTCTTTGTGCTTTACAAACTTATCTCAAGTAAACAAGTTGCATCAAAAACTCTCAATTAAAAATTGTATACAAATGTACAACCTTCTATTAGTAGTGTACTATATGTCAATTTTTTCTAGCACAATGAATCAAAACAATTTGATTATTTAAGTTACTGGCTTTGTCAAAGTATGATCAAACATATAATTAATAATAAAATGTACATATAAACCTATTAACTGTTCAAATGTCAATTAATGATATACAATTCACAGAGTTTTCGTAATGTATGATAGATAATCTGTATCATTATACTACACACAGGTACACAAGAAGGAATTATGTACACAAGATGACATATCCAAATACTAGTAATATTTGTAATATACTTTGAAAAACAAAATAAGTGATGGTGTATCACGGTTTCTAAATATTGACAAAGTATTATGATGGTCACGTTCATCGCGCCACAGAGTATATGACGATGACGATGATGATGATGATGATGATGATGATGATGATGATGATGATGATGATGATGATGATGACGATGGTGGTGATGGTGGTGGTGGTGAAGATGATGTTGTTGATGATGATGATGATGATGATGATGATGATGATGTTGATGAAGATGGCAAAATACATAAACAGTACATGACATACTCGAAGCAAGCCAATGAGCCAAGCGGGCCGATCTCCTGGACATTGTAGACATTTTTTTGTTTCTTGGGTTTGTTCCAACACCGGCGTCTCATACGTCGGTTAGTTAACTTTGTACATAATGTAAATGCAATTTCTGCTCATTTGAAATACCCAAGAACTGTTTGTTGTCATTTCTTCCTTGAACCGATGTCATTTTCAGTTCTTTCTTGCATGAAATTAGGTAAATTCT